AGTAGGGTTCCAAGCATGGTAACTACACTGATAACCATAATATGTTGAGTACCTATAACCCTACTTCTAACGACCCATGAACCTCCAAGCACCCTGTGCGTCGACTCGGAAAGGTACTGGTTTCTAGTTCTCTTTACTTGGCTCGTCTTCCTCTGGCGGTTCGTTGAACTGGAGCAGCCGCGGAATCGGGCGGTTGGAAAAGAGCTACATAAGAACCCCCCAAAATAGCTTCCTTATAAGGAGCTACACTGACATAAGAACCCCACAAAAAATAGCATAGTCTTCTTCCTGAAAAGGGCAAGAGAGGGATTTTTGTGGCGGGGGAGGTTCTTAAGGAAATCGTAAAAGAGGCGTGCAGCTCTCTGCAGCACTTGGCGCCACATCCATGTGTGACCCTGCGAAGTCCTGGTACACCCGCACGCCCAAACGGCCAACTCAATCCTAAACTCCTGAGTTTGCCAGGAGGCCCTGTAGGGCTTAAAGATTTGAGAGTTCAGGAAATGGGAAACCTAAAAACTAACCCCATGCCCAAATGCTTCCTGAACAGCCCTCTTGCAACCTTTCAGAGCCGTTCCAAGCCCCCGCCAAAACCTAACCAAGCCCGACATAGACCCCAGAGCCCTATCAATCCTACTAGCCCCATGAATCCCAAAAGCCTCCAATGACCCTCAACCAGGATCCCACAGGTCAGGGCCCTTCCCTCAACACCCCTAAACCCTAAACCCTAAACCCTAAACCCTAAACCCTAAACCCTAAACCCTAAACCCTAAACCCTAAACCCTAAACCCTAAACCCTAAACCCTAAACCCTAAACCCTAAACCCTAAACCTGACTTCCCGCAGACTGGCTTCAGGGGCCCTCAGAGGGGCTGGTAGAGGGGAGGGGCCTTGCCTTCGCCCTCCCAGCTGGGGGGCCATGGTCAGGCCGGTGCTTCTGAGATTTTTGGCGGGGGAGGGAGGGTTTTGGGGTTTGGAGTTTGGGGTTTAGGGTTCAAGATTTATAGGGTCTAGTATAGGGTCTAGGGTTTAGGGCTTGGGGCTTCTCATGGTGGGGTGGGGGGGTGGGGGGTGGTTGCGGGTTTAGGGTTTGGTAGGGTTTCGGCCTGGAAGGTTGGTTTTGTGCGAGGCAGCCTGCATCATCATAGCCAATATATACCCCTTGCCCGAAATATAGAACTACCCCCCCCCCCCCCCCCCCCCCGCCCCAATGAGACCTCAAAGCCCGCAAATCCGAAACCTAGATGCGCCCTTGTGTTGTGAAGCCTTGCGGGTCCATGGAGCGACTTGCTGTGTTGTCAGCATTGCCAGCGCAGTGGATAGATTTAAGCTCATGGCTGTGTGTGTTGTTTGCATACTCCTTCTCTTTGTGGCCATGGCCTCGTCATGCTTGCCAGCGCTGCAGCAGCAACAACTCGCGGAGAGCGCACCTCGGAACGGCACAGCAGCATACGAACAGACTGCTTCACTCATGACTTGCAAAGTTACAAAAGGAGTTGAGGATGCGTGAATAGAGTTTGTTGAGTCACAGCCGAGCACACACGGATACCGGAAGTGAGGACTCCGATGATGAGTTGTTGCTGTCTACGGCTGCGAACCTCAGCGAGGTGCGGGTGCTGCAGTGTGTAGGGCAAACAGGGATGGGAGTTTGTTTTGGGAGCATGCTTCGCACATGACATGACAGTTGAGCGATTGGCATGCAATTTGACATCTTCAGGCCAAAAGCAAAGTGCACAGTTGGAATGTTGCGTATAATTGAGCAGCGGGCGAAGGTGTCTTGTTCCTGGTTCCTGTTCCCACACAGCAAATCTGAGAGACATCATCGTCCACTTGATTCTCCGGTGAAGGAAACCCATGTCGAATGTTCATGGCATGGAAAGCCAAGTCTTGCAGCAGTCGCACGCACTTGGCGAAATGACAATGAAGTACTACGCCTGCGCAAAAACCAGAGGCTGAGCCTTCCAAACACTGCGCAGTCCATCCCTGCAAGTCGTCCATCTCCAAGTTGCACCCGTCTTCGTTTGTATAAGAAGCTGAGGGCGATGTTGCATCTGAAGCCCAGCGGATAGACGTAGATAGACATGTGACATGGTCCTTTTTCTTTCTTATTCTGAAAAGTTGTGCTAGCGATCAGCGCTGTCTCCTCGCCCACTCCCATGTCCGGGTGTTGGCTTCCACGTTTTCAATTCAGTGACCTGCGTCACCTACGTGTTCTGACCTTCACAGCGGCCACCTGAAGCCGATGATGTCGCCATCGGCAGCCTGTGTAACATTACGTTCACCCTTCCGGGGGATTTTGTTTGGGGTGGGTATACTTGTAGGTTCAGGGTACTGAAAACTCCGGTTATAACCCTAACTCCCCTAAGTAGGTAATAAGTAGACTTATAGTTGGGGTTACAAGTACCCATGATCCTCCAAGTATACTTGTCGTATAGAATGTCATGACTTCCCAGTGCGCTTCCCATCCTGCGGTTTCCACAGGAGAACGACCGCAGCGCAATGGCACTGTCCCTCAGCTCAAGGACTCACCGAGAGGGCCTCGGTGGGTCCTTGAGCTGAGGGAAAGTGCCATTGGACCGAGGCCATCTGACTTTTTGGGGTATGATTTTTTCTTGATTCTTTCGAACTTCCCTTATTTGGCGGACCTCCTGGTTTCTGGTCATTTCTGGACCCTTGCATCTTCGTCTCTGCGGCAGGAAACAACGGACGCCGGAGCCGCCTGCGCAGGCGCAGCGATGTGCAAGAGGCCCCGCTCGGCGCGGGCCGTGCCCTGCGAACCCTCGCATTCGAAGTCGCGTCAACTTGGACTCCTCCTCACCCTCCATGAACCGGATCACCTGCACTCACTCTGCAGCTGCGCTGCAGAGTGAGTGCAGGTGATCCGGTTCATGGAGGGTGAGGAGGAGGACATGGGCTCCCCATCTGCCAAGACCCAGACCGAGGCCAGGTACTTGTAGCAGCATTCTTTGTTTTGGTCGTGCGCTTCCTGCGAAGGCCCCGGCGGCAAATACCACCTGCTGGGACAATCTCGACCCCCGGTTGCTGCCTGTGGTCCTCACTGAGTCCCTGCTCTGCAGCGCAATCTGCTGGTTCTTCCTGCAATGCCCGTTGTTGAGTGACTTGGCCCTGATATCCTGAAATACACGTCGCACAGGAGTATGCAAGACCAGTGTAGCTATGACATGCGCTAGCACGTGTGGGCACCCACGAGTACAGGGCTGGAAGTACTATGTTTCGGACGAGGTGAGAATGGCGTGGGCCCTCTCCACGTTCTGCGTGCTGGAGCGGCCAAGCCATTTGTGCTGGCGTTCTGCCCGGACCTCGTTTTGTTTTGGTTGTTATCCTTCGGCTTTTGGTGCAATGCCCTGGCAGCTGATTGCCTTTCGCCTGCAGGTCTCATGGCCTTCGCCAGCCAAGTGGACCCTGGCATAGTTCCGGAAGGGCATCCGGACCGAGCCATCGAGCGGTCCTACAAATCGTCACAGTCCCTTGGCTTTGTCATCATCCTCCGTCTCCGTCACATTTGTGATCATCCCATGTTCTTTTGCAGTACATTTGTTGGGGGGTGCTCTCTCGAGGTTCCCGCGCCGCATACGCAGACCCTCACCTTGCAATTGTGGCGGGGACGTGGCCGGCGACGGCAATACACATGAAACCCAGCTCTTGTGTGTATCTGGCGTAGCTGGCTGCATGCCCGGAATCCGAGGATACGATCATTTCCGCAGATGGCTACTCAATGGCATCGGTTTATACAACCAGCGCAGCTTGGCTTAGCAGTGAGCTTAACTGGCTTAACAGTGAGCTGCCCTTATGTGGCTCTCTACATAGGACCCTTGCGGGGCAACCATCAGAGCGTTGGGCTCAGGAGTTTTTCAGGCTGCTCATGGTGTTCACTGTGATGGTGGCGGGAAGTTGCTTGGCTAGTTTCATTCCGAACAACATGATCCAAGGAACTGCTACGTGTTCTGGTGTGTCCCAAGATGGGACAAGCATCAGATGGGAGAGTTTGAAGGTGAGGTATGTGCAAAGGCTCAGCAGAATTCGTGAACGGCGCCCGCCGCGAAACATGCGTGGCGAGGCGAGGAGTAACGGAGTGCGCAGACATGCGCAGCTTAATGTTCTGCTATGAGTCGGCCATGAGGGGCTCGTCCTGCTACCTGCCGTCGACGTCCTTGGTGGTTTGTACGCGGTTAGCATCCATTGGAGTAGCTTGCAGCATAATCGTCCTAGAGCAACAGCTGCTTAGCAACATGTGTATCATGTATATTAAATTCCGGAAACGCGTGGGATTGCGCGGGCGGGACTGGCAGTGTCCAGCCGAAGGTCGGCGGAAGGCGTGCCACCTGTGCACGGAAGTACGCGTTTGGGTGCGTCCCAAGACTGGACTGAAGCATCAGACGAATTCCACTCGTGACGAGCCTTCCACGCTGCAAATCCTGCGGCATGGCCACCGGTCCTTGCCAGCTGCGTGAAAGAGGTGTGCTATCTTTGGAAGACTTGCGGACAGGTACTCATAAATGTAGCCGATATGCCGATATTATGATATGCTATCAATCCATTCAAATTATGGGGTCTGTGGCATCCGTATACAGTGGCAGGTTGGGTATCGTTTATCTGCCGAAGTGAGTTGTCTCGCCCTCAGAATCTCCAAAGCAAGCGTGGGGAGGCCAATGAATCTAAAGACCCGAGGGTCAACAGAGACCCCCATGAACCCTGAGACGCGCTGGTGTGCTAAGGCCAGAGCATTGACTGGTAGGGTGCACATAGGCTTTGTGTTGACTTCGTTGCCTTGCCTACTGGCGTGAGGCCATCCACTACGCGGGTCTCTTCTTTCGGTGCGCACCAAAGTTCCAGTTTGTTGTTTGTACTGGTTGTCAAGCCCGCATACGCTCAGAATGCTCAATGATATGGATGCCGTTCTGTTGCGGTGCTCCAAGTGCATCGCATGCTGCTCCAAGCTTCCAAACTTACATCTCCACTTGGAGGTTCATGGGTAGTCATAACTAGAGTAGGGTTCAAAGTATGGTAACTACACTGATAACCATAATATGTTGGGTACCCTATAACCCTACTTCTAACGACCCATGAAACTCCAAGCACCCTGTGCGTCGACTCGGAAAGGCTAGTTCTCTTTAATTACTTGGCTCGTCTTCCTCTGGCGGTTCGTTGAACTGGAGCAGTAGGCCATTCAGACCCCCATCCGGGACTTTGGGGGGGTACTTATTAAAATAGGGGTGCCCTTTTTGGGCGTCCCTTGAAGCTAGGGTTTCTTAGTCTATTCGGGGTATATAACGGGGTACCGCTATTTTGGGAGATGCCCGTTTGTGGAGGATGTTCTGGAAGAGCTGGAGCCAACAGAGACGGAACAGACTGAGAGCCAAAGTCAAGCAGCCGCGGAATCGGGCGGTTGAAAAAGAGCGACAGAAGGACCCCCCCAAAATGGCATAGTCTTCTTCCTTATAAGGGCGAGAGAGGGGTTTTTGTGGCGGGGGAGGTTCTTAAGCAAATAGTAGAAGAGGCGTGCAGCTCTCTGCAGCGCTTTGCACCACATCATGTCGCATCCATGTGTGACCCTGCGAAGGCCTGGCACACCCGCACGCCCGGCCAACTCCCCATGAAGCCCTGTAGGGCTTTAAGCATTTTAAAGTTCAGGAAATGGGAGACCCTAAAAACTAACCCCATCCGCCCAAGCGCTCTTGGCCCCCCCCCCCCCCCAAAAAAAAATCCGACACAGACCCTGTTAGCCCCAGAGCCCTATTAATCCTACTAGCCCCATGAACCCCAAAGGCCTCCAAAGACCCCATCATCAACCAAAATCCCACAGGTCAGGCCCTTCCCTCAACCCCCCTTTAAACCCTGAACCCTAAACCCTAAAACCCTAAACCCCGAGATGACTTCCGGCAGACTGGCTTCAGGGGCCTTCGACTAGAGGGCTGGTAGAGGGGAGGGGCCTTGCCTTCGCCCTCCAAGCTGGGGCCATGGTCAGGCCGGTGCTTTTGAATTGGGGTTTGGGGGAGGGAGGGTTTGGGTTAGGGTTTAGGGCTTTTCATTGGGAGGGCGAGTGGGGGGGGGGGGTGGGGGGTGGTTGCGGGTGAAGGGTTTGGTCGGGTGGCTTTTGTGAGGGGTTTGGGATTTCATCGACATCATTTCTAGGCGGAGATGGGCAGTGCAGCCTGCATCATCATCATCATCATCATCATCATCATCATCATCATCATCATCATCATCATCATCATCATAGGCCAACATATACCCCTTTCCCCCAATGTTGACTTACCCCCCCCCCCCCCCCACCCCGCCCCAATGAGACTTCAAAGCCCGCAAATCCGAAACCTAGATGCGCCCTTGTGTTGTGAAGCTTTGCGGGTCCATGGAGCGACATTCTGCGTTGTCAACATTGCCAGCGCAGTGGAGTGATTTAAGCTCAAGTCCACTGTGCGAGTTGTTTAGACACTTCTTTTCTTTGTCATGGCCTCCGCATGCCTGCAAGCGCTGCAGCAGCAACAACTGGTGGAGAGCGCACCTCGGAACGGCACAGCAGCATAGGAAAAGACGGCTTCACTCATGACTTGCAAAAGTAGTTTCAAAAAACGCTGACGATGCGTGAATAGAGTTTGTTGAGTCACAGCCGAGCGCACACGGATACCGGAAGTGAGGACTCCGATGATGAGTTGTTGCTGTCTACGGCTGCGGACCTCAGTGAGGTGCGGGTGCTGCAGTGTGTAGGGCAAACATGGATGAGAGTTTGTTTTGAAGCACGCTGCGGCGCTGCGCACATGACATGACAGTTGAGTGATTGGCATGGCAAAATGACATCTTCAGGCCGAAAGTAAAGTGCATAGTTGGAGTGTTGCGTCTAATTGAACAGCGGGCGAAGGTGTCTTGTTCCTGGTGCCTGTTCCCACACAACAAAACTGAGAGACGTCATCACCTACTTGATTCTCCGGTGAAGGAAACTCATGTCAAATGTTCATGGCATGGAACCAAGTCTTGCAGCAGTCGCATGCACTTGGCGAAATGAAGTATGAAGCATGCGCAAAAGCCAGAGGCTGAACCTTCCAAACACTGCGCAGTCCATCCCTGCAAGTCGTCCATCTCCGAGTTGTGCCCGTTTTCGTCCGTATAAGAAGCTGCGGGCGCGGTTGCATCTGAAGCCCAGCGGATAGATAGACGTATATAGACATGGTCGTTTTCTTTCTTATTCTGATAAAATTGCTACTGGGTAGCGATCAGCGCTGTCTCCTCGCCCACTCCGATGTCCGGGTGTTCCACAATTAAGTGATCTAAGTGTTCTGACCTTCACAGCGACCTCCTGATGCCGATGACGGCCGTCGCCATCGGTAGCCTGTGTAACATGACGTTCACCTTCCGGGGGGTTTAGTTTGAGGTGGGTATACTTGTAGGTTCAGGGTACTTATCACCCCAATTGTAACCCTATGTCCTCTAAGTAGGTTAGACTCACAATTGAGGTTATAAGTACCCATGAACCTCCAAGTATACCTGTAGTAGAATGCCATGACCTCCCAGTGCGCCATCCTGCGGTTTCCACAGGAGAACGACCGCAGCGCAATGGCACTTTCCCCCAGCTCTAGAACTCACCGAGGCCATCCGACCTTTTGGGGTAGTCTTTTCTTGCCACGTTTCGCCCTTCCCTTTTTTTGCGGACCTCCTGGTTTCTGGTCATTTCTGGACCCTTTCATCCTCGTCTCTGCGGCAGGAAACAACGGACGCCGGAGCCGCCTGCGCACGCGCAGCGACGTGCAAGAGGCCCCGCTCGGCGCGGGCCGCGCCCTGCGAACCCTTGCAAACGAAGTCGTGTGAACTTGGAAGCTCAGCTGCACTTGCAGAGTGATTGCAGGTGATCCGGTTCATGGAAGGTGAGGAGGAGGACATGGGCTCCCCATCCGCCAAAACAGAGACGGAGGCCAGGTACTTGTAGCAGCATTCTCTGTTTTGGTCGTGCGCTTCGCTGCGAAGGCGCCGGCGGCAAATACGACCTGCTGGGACAACCTCGACCCCCGCTTGCTGCCTGTGGTCCTGACCGTGTCCCTCCTCTGCAGCGCCGTCTGCTGGTTCTTCTTGCAGTGCCCGTTGTTGAGTGACTTGGCCCTGATTCCCTGATATCCTGAAAAACACGTCGCACAGCAGTATGCAAGACCAGTATAGCTATGACATGCGCTAGCACGCGTCCGCGCCCGCGAGTACAGGGCTGGACGTACTGTAGCCCGGTATGTTTCGGACGAGGTGAGAATGGCATGGGCGATCTCCACGTTCTGCGCGCTGGGGCTGCCATGCCATTCGTGCTGGCGTTCGGCCCGGAGCTCATTTTGCCGACTTTTTTGGTGCAGTGCCCTGGCACCTGATAGCCTTTCGCTTGCAGGCCTCATGGCCTTCGCCAGCCAAGTGGACCCCGGCATGGTTCCGGACGGGTGTCCGGACCGCGCCATCGAGCGGTCCTATAAATCGTCACAGCCCCTTGGCTTTGCCATGATCCTCCATCTCCGTCACCCTTGTGATCATCCCATGTTCTTTGCAGTTCATTTTTTGCGGGGGTGAGGTTCCCGCGCCGCATACGCAGACCCTCGCCATGCAATTGTGGCGGGGACGTGGCCGGCGACGGCAATACGCATGAAGCCCAGCTCTTGTGTGATCTGGCCGCATGCCTGGAATCCGAGGATACGACCATTTCTGCCGATGGTTGCTCAATGGCATCGGTTTATACAACCACCGCGCAGCTTGGCTTAACAGTGCGCTTAACAGGCTTAACAGTGAGCTGCCCTTATGTGACTACGTAGGACCCTTTCCGGGGCAACCATCAGAGCGTTGGCGTCAGGAGTTTTTCATGTTGCTTATGGTCTTCACTGTGATGGTGACGGGAAATTGCTTGGCTGGTTTCATTCTGAATCCGAGAAGCGTGTTCTTGTAGCGCAGAAGTCACTTTGTGTGGAAGATCTCCGTTGTTGTCCGTCAATCGCCAACTGAGGCTTGATCGTGGATGTCTACCTCCTCGCCACTTTCTTTCGCCTCGAACACTGGGCCCGGGCCCTGGCTCCTGGCGTAGAGCTTCCGAAAACCTTTTTGTGAAGCATGCGAAGCTGAGAGCAGCTGGATCCCAGGTCGTGGAGTGCTTGCTGGCCCCTGGGCTCCAGAAATCTTCACACCACTTGAAACTGCTCGACAGTGAGAGGTAGGTAGTTCCGCAGTGATGCATTTCGAGTTCTGGCTCTCGTTGCCTCTCGCTCGTGAAGACGAGGCCGCCCACTTGACCTACGTTGCGGTATTTGCGTATGGTCTACTCCCGATTGTACGCCTGCACGTGGCCTTCGTTTCGAGGACACCCCCGTGCACCCCGTGCTGGATTGACGATCTCATGGCTTAGAGTTTTGTGTGATTGCATGCTTGGAGGAATGAGTTGGCAAACGAATGGAAGGACGACCTAAACTACGTTGTGGACGATTTGGAGTGGTGCTCTCAGTTGGCTACACTCTCTTGCTATTCTCTTTGCAGGTCTCAGTCTGTGTCCGCGCGTGCGTGTGTGCGGGCGGGCGGGCGGACGGGCGGGCGTGCGTGCATGCGTGCATGCGTGGGTGTGTGTGTGTGTGTGTGCGCGTGAGTGGAGTGGGCATGGCTCGTGAGCCAGAACTGTGAGCATCCGTCTTCTTTGAGCACTTTAGGGCGGGCACCTCGAAGTGGGTCGGAGAGCTGGACATCGAAGAATTCAACGACAAGTTCGACACATTCCGCTATGCCCCTTGGATTCCTTGGCGTTCACCATGTAGACTAAATATTCTAAGCCAAACCCATGACTTCAATGAGCGCCGGTGGAATGATGTGGCATGCGTAGTTCGGGTCGCGCGTTCCCGGGGAGTTTGAGTTTGTCTGAGGACCCCACGCGAAATCGCTGGGACAAGGGCTGGCACATGAGCCTGATCTGCAGGGGCAGCAGGTCAGACACTCTCAGGCTCTTCTCTGGCGAAGTATCAGCACGTTGCTGGCCTGTACTGGTAGGGGAAGCGGCAGGGTTGGGGCAATTTCGGCCAACATGATCCAAGGAACTGCTACTTGTTCTGGTGTGTCCCAAGATGGGACAAGCATCAGATGGGAGAGTTTTAAGGTGAGGCATGTGCAAAGGCTCAGCGGAATTCGTGAACGGCGCGCGCCGCGAAACATGCGTGGCGTGGCGTGGAGTGACGGAGTGCGCAGACATGCGCAGCTTAATGTCCGAAAAGTCTCATGTGCAGGGAGAAGAGGTAGGCTACGAGTCGGCCATGAAGGCTCGTCCTACCAGCCGTCGTCGACGTCCTTGGTGGTTTGTATGCGGTTAGCATCCGTTGGAGTAGCTTGCAGCATATAAGTCGTCTTTATTAGCAACAGCTGTTTAGCAACATGTGCAGGGAAGTTCCGGAAAACGTGTGGGCGGGACTGGCAGTGTCCAGCCGAAGGTCGGCGGAAGATGTGCCACCTGCGCACGGCAGCACGCGTTTGGGTGCGTCCCAAGACGGGACCGATGCATCAGACGAATTCCACTCGTGACGAGCCTTCCACGCTGCGAATCCTGCGGCGTGGCGACCGGTGCTTGCCAGCTGCGTGAAAAGAGGTGTTCTATCTTTGGAAGACTCACAGACAGTCACTCACAAAGGTGGCCGATGTATTATGATATGTTATCAAACCATTCAAGTTTCGGCGTCTGTGGCATCCGTATACAGTGGCAGGTTGGGTATGTTTATCTGCCGAAGTGGGTTGTCTCGCCCTCAGAATCTCCAAAGCAAGCGTGGGGAGGCCAGTGAATCTAAAGACCCGAGGGTCAACAGAGACCCCCATGAACCCTGAGATGCTCTGGTGTGCTAAGGCCAGAGCTCTGACTGGTAGGGTGCACATAGGCTTTGTGTTGACTTCGTCGCCTTGCCTACTGGCGTGAGGTCATCCACAACCCGGGTCTCTTCTTTCTGTGCGCACATGTGCGCACCAAAGTTCCAGTTTGTTGTTTGTGCTGGCTGTCAAGCCCGCATACGCTCAGAATGCTCAATTGCTCAATGATGTGGATGCCGTTCTGTTGCGGTGCTCCAAGAGCATCGCATGCTGCTCCAAGCGTCCAGACTTACATCTCCACTTGGAGGTTCATGGGTAGCTATATCTAGAGTAGGGTTCCAAGTATGGTAACTACACTGATAACCATAATATGTCGGGTACCTATAACCCTAACGACCCATGAACCTCCAAACCCTGTGCGTCGATTTGGAAAGGTACTGGTTTCTAGTTCTCTTTACTTGGCTCGTCTTCTGGCGGTTCGTTGAACTGGCGCAGTAGGCCATTCAGACCCCCATCCGGGACTTTGGGGGTACTCATTATAATGGTGGTACCCTTTTTGGGGGGTTTCTATTCGGGGTAAACAAAAGGGGTACCCCCTATTTTGGGAGATGCCCGTGTGTGGAGGATGTTCTGGAAGAGCTGGAGCCAACAGAGGCGGAACAGACCGAGAGCCAAAGCCAAGCAGCCGCGGAATCGGGCGGTTGAAAAAGAGCTACATAAGAACCCCCCCCCCCCTCAAAATAGCTTCCTTAAAAGGAGCTACATTGACATAAGAACCCCCCAAAAAATGGCATAGTCTTCTTCCTTATAAGGGCAAGAGAGGGATGTTTGTGGCGGGGTCTTATAACCAAATAGTAGAAGAGGCGTGCAGCTCTCTGCAGCGCTTTTCGCCACTCCCAAACGGCCAACTCCCCATGAAGCCCTGTAGGGCTTGAAGCATTTTTAAGTTCAGCAAATGGGAAACCCAAAAAACGAACCCCATCCGCCCAAGCGCTTCCTGAACAGCCCTCTTGCAAGCTTTGAGAGCCCTTCCAGGCCCCCGCCACCCCCAACAAAACCCAACCAAGCCCGACATAAGCCCCAGAGCCCTATCAATCCGACTAGCCCCATGAACCCCAAAGGTCTCCAAAAAGTTCTATCATCAACCCTGAACCCTAAACCCCCGAGATGACGTCCGGCAGACTGGCTTCAGGGGCCCTTAGAGGGCTGGTAGAGCGGAGGGGCCTTGCCTTCGCCCTCCCAGCTGGGGGGCCATGGTCAGGCCGGTGCTTTTGATTTTTGGCGGGGGAGGGAGGGTTTGGGGTTTGGGGTTTATAGGGTTTAGGGCTTAGGGTTCAAGATTTAGGGTTCAGGGTTTAGGGTCTAGTAGGGTCTAGGGTCTAGGGTTTAGGGTTTAGGGTTTAGGGTTTAGGGTTTAGGGTTTAGGGTTTAGGGTTTAGGGCTTCTCATGGTGGTTGCGGGTTGGTAGGGTTTCGGCCTGGAAGGTTGGTTTTGTGCGAGGCAGCCTGCACATCATAGCCAATATATACCCCTTGCCCGAAAGATAGAACTACCCCCCCCCCCCCCCCAATGAGACCTCAAAGCCCGCAAATCCGAAACCTAGATGCGCCCTTGTGTTGTGAAGCCTTGCGGGTCCATGGAGCGACTTGCTGTGTTGTCAACATTGCCAGCGCAGTGGATTGATTTAAGCTCAAGGCTGTGTGTGTTGTTTGCATACTCCTTCTCTTTGTGGCCATGGCCTCCGCATGCCTGCAAGCGCTGCAGCAGCAACAACTCGCGGAGAGCGTACCTCGGAACGGCACAGCAGCATAGGAACAGACGGCTTCACTCATGACTTGCAAAAGTAGTTTCAACAGGCGCCGAGGATGCGTGAATAGAGCTTGTTGAGTCACAGCCGAGCGCACACGGATACCGGAAGTGAGGACTCCGATGATGAGTTGTTGCTGTCTACCGCTGCGGACCTCAGTGAGGTGCGGGTGCTGCAGTGTGTAGGGCAGGGATTCGAGTTTGTGTTGGAGCACGCTGCGCACATGACATGACAGTTGAGTGATTGGCGTGCAAATTGACATTTTCAGGCCAAAAGTAAAGTGCACAGTTGGAATGTTGCGTCTAATTGAGCAGCGGGCGAAGCTGTCTTGTTCCTGGTTCCTGTTCCCACACAACAAAACTGAGAGACATCATCGCCCATGTGATTCCCCGGTGAAGGAAACCCATGTCGAATGTTCATGGCATGGAAAGCCAAGTCTTGCAGCAGTCGCATGCTTGGCGAAATGACAATGAAGTACTACGCCTGCGCAACAGCCAGAGGCTGAGCCTTCCAAGCCCTGCGCAGTCCATCCCTGCAAGTCGTCCATCTCCAAGTTGAACCCGTCTTCGTTTGTTAAGAAGCTGAGGGCGATGTTGCATCTGAAGCCCAGCGGATAGACGTAGATAGACATGGTCCTTGTTCTTTCTTATTCTGAAAAGTTGTGCTAGCGATCAGCGCTGTCTCCTCGCCCACTCCCATGTCCGGGTGTTGGCTTCCACGTTTTCAATTCAGTGACCTGCGTCACCTACGTGTTCTGACCTTCACAGCGGCCACCTGAAGCCGATGATGTCGCCATCGGCAGCCTGTGTAACATTTCGTTCACCCTTCCGGGGGATTTTGTTTGGGGTGGGTATACTTGTAGGTTCAGGGTACTGAAAACTCCGGTTATAACCCTAACTCCCCTAAGTAGGTAATAAGTAGACTTATAGTTGGGGTTACAAGTACCCATGATCCTCCAAGTATACTTGTCGTATAGAATGTCATGACTTCCCAGTGCGCTTCCCATCCTGCGGTTTCCACAGGAGAACGACCGCAGCGCAATGGCACTGTCCCTCAGCTCAAGGACTCACCGAGGGCCTCGGTGGGTCCTTGAGCTGAGGGAAAGTGCCATTGGACCGAGGCCATCTGACTTTTTGGGGTATGATTTTTTCTTGATTCTTTCGAACTTCCCTTATTTGGCGGACCTCCTGGTTTCTGGTCATTTCTGGACCCTTGCATCTTCGTCTCTGCGGCAGGAAACAACGGACGCCGGAGCCGCCTGCGCAGGCGCAGCGATGTGCAAGAGGCCCCGCTCGGCGCGGGCCGCGCCCTGCGAACCCTCGCATTCGAAGTCGCGTCAACTTGGACTCCTCCTCACCCTCCATGAACCGGATCACGTGCACTCACTCTGCAGCTGCGCTGCAGAGTGAGTGCAGGTGATCCGGTTCATGGAGGGTGAGGAGGAGGACATGGGCTCCCCATCTGCCAAGACCCAGACCGAGGCCAGGTACTTGTAGCAGCATTCTTTGTTTTGGTCGTGCGCTTCCTGCGAAGGCCCCGGCGGCAAATACCACCTGCTGGGACAATCTCGACCCCCGGTTGCTGCCTGTGGTCCTCACTGAGTCCCTGCTCTGCAGCGCAATCTGCTGGTTCTTCCTGCAATGCCCGTTGTTGAGTGACTTGGCCCTGATATCCTGAAATACACGTCGCACAGGAGTATGCAAGACCAGTGTAGCTAACATGCGCTAGCACGTGTGGGCACCCACGAGTACAGGGCTGGAAGTACTATGTTTCGGACGAGGTGAGAATGGCGTGGGCCCTCTCCACGTTCTGCGTGCTGGAGCGGCCAAGCCATTTGTGCTGGCGTTCTGCCCGGACCTCGTTTTGTTTTGGTTGTTATCCTTCGACTTTTGGTGCAATGCCCTGGCAGCTGATTGCCTTTCGCCTGCAGGTCTCATGATAGTTCCGGAAGGGCATCCGGACCGAGCCATCGAGCGGTCCTGCAAATCGTCACAGTCCCTTGGCTTTGCCATCATCCTCCGTCTCCGTCACATTTGTGATCATCCCATGTTCTTTTGCAGTTCTTTTTTTTGGGGGGTGCTCTCTCGAGGTTCCTGGCTCTCTACATAGGACCCTTGCGGGGCAACCATCAGAGCGTTGGGCTCAGGAGTTTTTCATGCTGCTCATGGTGTTCACTGTGATGGTGGCGGGAAGTTGCTTGGCTAGTTTCATTCCGAATAACATGATCCAAGGAACTGCTACGTGTTCTGGTGTGTCCCAAGATGGGACAAGCATCAGATGGGAGAGTTTGAAGGTGAGGTATGTGCAAAGGCTCAGCAGAATTCGTGAACGGCGCCCGCCGCGAAACATGCGTGGCGAGGCGAGGAGTGACGGAGTGCGCAGACATGCGCAGCTTAATGTTCTGCTATGAGTCGGCCATGAGGGGCTCGTCCTGCTACCTGTCGTCGACGTCCTTGGTGGTTTGTACGCGGTTAGCATCCATTGGAGTAGCTTGCAGCATAATCGTCCTAGAGCAACAGCTGCTTAGCAACATGTGTATCATGTATATTAAATTCCGGAAACGCGTGGGATTGCGCGGGCGGGACTGGCAGTGTCCAGCCGAAGGTCGGCGGAAGGCGTGCCACCTGTGCACGGAAGTACGCGTTTGGGTGCGTCCCAAGACTGGACTGAAGCATCAGACGAATTCCACTCGTGACGAGCCTTCCACGCTGCAAATCCTGCGGCGTGGCCACCGGTCCTTGCCAGCTGCGTGAAAGAGGTGTGCTATCTTTGGAAGACTTGCGGACAGGTACTCATAAATGTAGCCGATATGCCGATATTATGATATGCTATCAATCCATTCAAGCATTGGCGTCTGTGGCAAACGGCAGGTTGGGTATCGTTTATCTGTCGAAGTGGGTTGTCTCGCCCTCAGAATCTCCAACGCAAGCTTGGGGAGGCCAACTTATAAAGACCCGAGGGTCAAGCCCCATAAACCCTGAGACGCGCTGGTGTGCTAAGGCCAGAGCTTTGACTGGTAAGGTGCACATAGGCTTTGTGTTGACTTCGTCGCCAATAATATTGATGCCGTTCTGTTGCGGTGCTCCAAGAGCATCGCATGCTGCTCCAAGCGTCCAGACTTACATCTCCACTTGGAGGTTCATGGCTAGTTATATCTAGAGTAGGGTAATAAGTATGGCACCTATACTTCCAACCATATTTAGGGTACCTAGAACCCTACTCCTAACGATCGCCCCATGAACCTCCAAGCACACAAACCCTAAACCCTAAACCCTAAACCCTAAACCCGTGCGCCGACTGGGAGAGGTACTGGTTTCTAGTTCTCTTTACTTGGCTCGTCTTCCTCTGGCGGTTCGTTGAACTGGAGCAGTAGGCCATTCAGACCCCTGTCCGGGACTTTGGGGGTACTTACTATAATAGGAGTACCCTTTTTGGGGGTCCCTTGAAGGGGATTCTTAGTCTATTCGGGGTATATAACAGGGTACCCGTAATTTGGGAGATGCCCGTGTGTGGAGGATGTTCTGGAAGAGCTGGAGCCAACAGAGGCGGAACAGACTGAGAGCCAAAGCCAAGCAGCCGCAGAATCGGGCGGTTGAAAAAGAGCTACACAAGAACCCCCCCCCCCCCCCCCCAACTTCCTGAAAAGGGCAAGAGAGGGTTTTTGTGGCAGGGCAGGTTCTTCACCAAATAGTAGAAAGGGCGTGCAGCTCTCTGCTTCGCTTGGCACCACTTCCATGTGTGACCCTGCCAAGCTCTGGCACACCCGCACGCCCAAACGGCTAACTCCAGGAGGCCCTGTAGGGCTTTTAAAGACTTTCATGTTCAGGAAATGGGAAACCCTAAAAAACCTGACTCTATCCGCCCAAACGCTTCCTGAACAGCCCTCTTGCGAGCTTTCAGAGCCCTCAAACCCAACCAAACCCTACAAAAACTTGCAAGGCCGACAAAGACCCTGTGAGCCCTACCCAAAGGATGCTATGTAGTACTTTTTTTGGGTAGCTGTAGGGGGATTCGAGCATTCTGCTGCCCAGCCTTTGGGTAGAGCCCTATGAATCCTATGAATCCTACCAGCCCCATGAACTCCCACACCGGGACTCATGGCTTCCCCCACAGGTCAACCCCCCAAACCCTAAACCCGAAACCCGAAACCCTAAACCCTAAACCCTGAACCCTAAACCTGACTTCCGGCAGACTGGCTTCAGGGACCCTTAAGAGGGCTGGTAGAGGGGAGGGGCCTTGCCTTCGCCCTCCTAGCTGGGGGCCATGGTCAGGCCGGTGCTTCTGATTTGGGGTTTGAGGGTTTGGGGTTTAGGGTTCAGGGTTTTAGGGTTTGGGGTTTAGGCTTTAGGGCTTCAGGGCTTCAGGGTTTAGGGCTTCTCATTTGGGGGGGGGGGGGTGGGGGGTGGTTGCGGGTTTAGGGCTTGGCAGGGTTTCGGCCTGGAAGGTTGGTTTTGTGCGAGGCAGCCTGCATCACCATAGCCAATATATACCCCTTGCCCGAAAGATAGAACTACACCCCCCCCCCCCCAATGAGACCTCAAAGCCCGCAAATCCGAAACCTAGATGCGCCCTTGTGTTGTGAAGCCTTGCGGGTCCATGGAGCGACTTGCTGCGTTGTCAGCATTGCCAGCGCAGTGGGTTGATTTATGCTCAAGGCCCTCAAGGCTGTGTGAGTTGTTTGAGATTCCTTCCCTTGGTTGCCATGGCCTCTGCATGCATGCGAGCGCTGCAGCAGCAACAACTCGTGGAGAGCGCACCTCGGAACGGCACAGCAGCATAGGAACAGACGGCTTCACTCATGACTTGCAAAAGTAGTTTCAACAGGCGCCGAGGATGCGTGAATAGAGCTTGTTGAGTCACAGCCGAGCGCACACGGATACCGGAAGTGAGGACTCCGATGATGAGTTGTTGCTGTCTACCGCTGCGGACCTCAGTGAGGTGCGGGTGCTGCAGTGTGTAGGGCAGGGATTCGAGTTTGTGTTGGAGCACGCTGCGCACATGACATGACAGTTGAGTGATTGGCGTGCAAATTGACATTTTCAGGCCAAAAGTAAAGTGCACAGTTGGAATGTTGCGTCTAATTGAGCAGCGGGCGAAGCTGTCTTGTTCCTGGTTCCTGTTCCCACACAACAAAACTGAGAGACATCATCGCCCATGTGATTCCCCGGTGAAGGAAACCCATGTCGAATGTTCATGGCATGGAAAGCCAAGTCTTGCAGCAGTCGCATGCTTGGCGAAATGACAATGAAGTACTACGCCTGCGCAACAGCCAGAGGCTGAGCCTTCCAAGCCCTGCGCAGTCCATCCCTGCAAGTCGTCCATCTCCAAGTTGAACCCGTCTTCGTTTGTTAAGAAGCTGAGGGCGATGTTGCATTTGAAGCCCCAGCGGATAGATAGACGTAATTACATAGACATGGTCGTTTTCTTTTTTTATTCTGAGAAGTTGTGCTAGCGATCAGCGCTGTCGAGCTCGCCCACTCCGATGTCCGGGTGTTGGCTTCCACCTTTTCAACTAAGTGATCTAAGTGTTCTGACCTTCACAGCGACCTCCTGATGCCGATGGCGGCCGTCGCCGTCGGCAGCCTGTGGAAGATGGCGTTCACCCTCCGGGGGACTTTTGTTTGGGGTGGGTATACATTATCTCCCTAAGTCCTCTAAGTAGGTTATAAGTCGACTTCTAATTGGGGTTAGAAGTATCTATGAACCTCCAAGTACACTTGTTGTACTAGAATGCCATGACCTCCCAGTGAGCTTCCCATCCTGCGGTTTGCACAGGAGAACGACCGCAGCGCAATGGCATTGTCCCCCAGCTCCAGAACCCACCGAGGCCATCCGACCTCTTGGGGTCGTTTTTGCTTGATCCTTTGGCCCTTCCATTTTTTGGCGGACCTCCTGGTTTCTGGTTATTTCTGGACCCTTTCATCCTTGTCTCTGCGGCAGGAAACAACGGACACCGGAGCCGCCTGCGCACGCGCAGCGATGTGCAAGAGGCCCTGCGCGGCTCGCGCCCTGCGAACCCTTGCAATCGAAGTCGTGTCAACTTGGAGGCTCAGCTGCACTTGCAGAGTGATTGCAGGTGATCCGCTTCATGGAGGGTGAGGAGGAGGATATGGGCTCCCCATCCGCCAAAACAGAGACGGAGGCCAGGTGCTTGAGGCTTGAGGCAGTATTCTCTGTTTCGACGTGCTCTTCGCTGCGAAGGCCCCGGCGGCAAATACCACCTGCTGGGACAACCTCGACCCCCGCCTGCTCCCTGTGGTCCTGACGGTGTCACTCCTCTGCAGCGCAATCTGCTGGTTCTTCTTGCAGTGCCCGCTGTTGAGTGACTTGGCCCTGATATCCTGAAATACACGTCGCACAGCAGTATGCAAGACCAGCATAGCTATATGACATGCGCTAGCACGCGTGCGCGCCCACGGACGTAACTGTAGCCCAGTATGTTTCGGACGAGGTGAGAATGGCATGGGCCCTCTCCACGTTCTCCGCGCTGGAGCGGCCATGCCGTTTGTGCTGGCATTCGGCCCGGAGCTCGTTTTGTTTTTTTCCTTCGACCTTTGGTGCAGAGCCCTGGCAGCTGATTGCCTTTCGCCTGCAGGTCTCATGGCCTTCGCCAGCCAAGTGGACCCTGGCATGGTTCCGGAAGGGTACCCGGACCTAGCCATCGAGCGGTCCTACAAATCCTCACAGCCCCTTGGCTTTGCCATGATCCTCCGTCTCCGTCACACTTGTGATCATCCCATGTTCTTTTGCAGTGCGTTTTTTGTGGGGTGCTCTCTCGAGGTTCCCGCGCCGCATACGCAGACCCTTGCCCTGCAATTTTGGCGGGGACGTGGCCGGCGACGGCAATACACATGAAGCCCAGCTCTTGTGTATCTGGCCGCATGCCTGGAATCCGAGGATACGACCATTTCTGCCGATGGTTGCTCAACGGCATCGGTTTGTACAACCACCGCGCGGCTTGGCTTAACCGTGAGCTTAATAGGCTTAACAGTGAGCAGCCCTTATGTGGCCCTCTACATAGGACCCTTTCCGGGGCAACCATCAGAGCGTTGGGCTCAGGAGTTTTTCCTCCTGCTGATGGTCTTCACTGTGATGGTGACGGGAAGTTGCTTGGCTAGTTTCATTCTGAATCCGAGAAGCGTGTTCTTGTAGCGCATCGGTCACTTTGTGTGGAAGATCTCCGTTGTTGTCCATCGTTCGCCAACTGAGGCTTGATCGTAGACGTCTACCTCCTCGCCGCTTTCTTTCGCCCCGAGCACTGGGCCCGGGCCTTGGCTCCTGGCGTATAGCTTCCGAAAGCCTTGTTGTCAAGCATGTGAAGCTGAGAGCAGTTGGATCCCAGGTCGTGGAGTGCTTGCTGGCCCCTGGGCTGCAGAAATCTTCACACCACTTTGAGACTGCTCGACAGTGAGAGGTAGTTCCGCAGTGATGCATTTCGAGTTCTGGCTCTCGTTGCATCTCGCTCGTGAAGACGAGGCTGCCCATCTGACCTACGTTGCTGTTTTTGCGTATGGTCTACTCCCGATTGTACGCCTGCACGTGGCGTTCGTTTCGAGGACACCCCCGTGCACCCCGTGCTGGATTGACGATCTCATGGCTTAGAGTTTTGTGTGATTGCATGCTTGGAGGAATGAGTTGGCAAACGAATGGAAGGACGACCTCAATTACGTTGTGGACGATTTGGAGTGGTGCTCCAAGTTGGCTGCACTCTCTTGCCATTCTCCTTGCAGGTCTCACTCTGTGTCTGTGCATGTGTATGTGTGTGTGTGTGCGTGCGTGGAGTGGGCATGGCTCGTGAGCCAGCACTGCGAGCATCCGTTTTCTTTGCGCACTTAGGGCGGGCACCTCGAAGTGGGTGGGAGAGCTGGACATCGAAGAATTCAACGACAAGTTCGACACCTTCCGCTATGCCCCTCGGATTCCTTGGCGTTCACCATGTAGACTAAACAATCTAAGCCAAACCCATAACTTCAATGAGCGATGGTGGAATGATGTGGCGTGCGTAGTTCGGGTTGCGCGTTCCCTGGGAGTTTGTCTGAGGACCCCACGCGAAATCGCTGGGACAAGGGCTGGCACATGAGCCTGATCTGCAGGGGCAGCATGTCAGACACTCTCAGGCTCTTCTCTGGCGAAGTGTTAGCACGTTGCTGGCCTGTACTGGTAGGGCAAGCGGCAGGGTTGGGGCAATTCGGGCCAACATGATCCAAGGAACTGCTACTTGTTCTGGTGTGTCCGAAGATGGGACAAGCATCAGATGGGAGAGTTTTAAGGTGAGGCATGTGCAAAGGCTCAGCGGAATTCGTGAACGGCGCCCGCCGCGAAACATGCGTGGCGTGGCGTGGAGTGACGGAGCGCGCAGACATGCGCAGCTTAATGTCCGAAAAGTCTCATGTGCAGGGAGAAGAGGTAGGCTATGAGTCGGCCATGCGGGGCTCGTCCTACCACCTGTCGTCGACGTCCTTGGTGGTTTGTATGCGGGTTAGCATCCGTTGGAGTAGCTTGCAGCATAGTCGTCTTTATTAGCAACAGCTGTTTAGCAACATGTGCAGGGAAGTTCCGGAAAACGCCTGGGCGGGACTGGCAGTGTCCAGCCGAAGGTCGGCGGAAGATGTGCCACCTGCGCACGGCAGCACGCGTTTGGGTGCGTCCCAAGACGGGACCGATGCATCAGACGAATTCCACTCGTGACGAGCCTTCCACGCTGCGAATCCTGCGGCGTGGCCACCGGTGCTTGCCAGCTGCGTGAAAAGAGGTGTTCTATCTTTGGAAGACTCACGGACAGTCACTCACAAAGGTAGCCGATATATTATGATATGTTTTCAATTCATACAAGTTACGGCGTCTGTGGCATCCGTATACAGTGGCAGGTTGGGTATGTTTATCTGCCGAAGTGGGTTGTCTCGCCCTCAGAATCTCCAAAGCAAGCGTGGGGAGGCCAGTGAATCTAAAGACCCGAGGGTCAACAGAGACCCCCATGAACCCTGAGATGCGCTGGTGTGCTAAGGCCAGAGCTCTGACTGGTAGGGTGCACATAGGCTTTGTGTTGACTTCGTCGCCTTGCCTACTGGCGTGAGGTCATCCACAACCCGGGTCTCTTCTTTCTGTGCGCACATGTGCGCACCAAAGTTCCAGTTTGTTGTTTGTACTGGCTGTCAAGCCCGCATACGCTCAGAATGCTCAATGATGTGGATGCCGTTCTGTTGCGGTGCTCCAAGAGCATCGCATGCTGCTCCAAGCGTCCAGACTTACATCTCCACTTGGAGGTTCATGGGTAGCTATATCTAGAGTAGGGTTCCAAGTATGGTAACTACACTGATAACCATAAGATGTCGGGTACCTATAACCCTAACGACCCATGAACCTCCAAACCCTGTGCGTCGACTCGGAAAGGTACTGGTTTCTAGTTCTCTTGACTTGGCTCGTCTTCTGGCGGTTCGTTGAACTGGAGCAGTAGGCCATTCAGACCCCCATCCGGGACTTTGGGGGTACTCATTATAATGGGGGTACCCTTTTGGGGGTCCCTTGAAGCTAGGGATTCTTCTTCTATTCGGGGTATAAACGCGGTACTCGTATTTTGGGAGATGCCCGTGTGTGGAGGATGTTCTGGAAGAGCTGGAGCCAACAGAGGCGGAACAGACTGAGAGCCAAAGCCAAGCAGCCGCGGAATCGCGGGGTTGAAAAAGAGCTACATAAGAACCCCCCAAAATAGCTTCCTTAAAAGGAGCTACATTGACATATGAACCCCCCAAGTGTGACCCTGCGAAGCCCTGGCACACCCGCACGCCCAAACGGCCAACTCCCCATGAAGCCCTGTAGGGCTTGAAGTGTGTTTATAAGTTCAGCAAATGGGAAACCCAAAAAACGAACCCCATCCGCCCAAGCGCTTCCTGAACAGCCCTCTTGCGAGCTTTCAGAGCCCTCCTGGGCCCCAAACCCAACCAAACCCTACAAAAACTTCCAGGCCCCCGCCACCCCCAACAAAACCCAAGCCCGACATAAGCCCCAGAGCCCTATCAATCCGACTAGCCCCATGAACCCCAAAGGCCTCCAAAAAATTCTATCATCAACCACGATCCCACAGGTCAGGGACCCTTCCCTCAACCCCGCCTAGACCCTAAACCCTGCCTAAACCCTGAACCCTGAACCCCTAAACCCTCGAGATGACTTCCGGCAGACTGGCTTCAGGGGCCCTCAGAGGAGGGGAGGGGCCTTGCCTTCGCCCTCCCAGCTGGGGGGCCATGGTCAGGCCGGTGCTTCTGATTTTTGGCGGGGGAGGGAGGGTTTGGGGTTTAGGGTTTAGGTTTTAGGGTTCAAGATTTAGGGTTTAGGGTTTAGGGTTTAGGGTCTAGTAGGAGTTTAGGGTTTAGGGTTTAGGGCTTCTCATGGTGGGGTGGGGGGGTGGGGGGTGGTTGCGGGTTTAGGGTTTGGTAGGGTTTCGGCCTGGAAGCTTGGTTTTGTGCGAGGCGGCCTGCATCATCATAGCCAATATATACCCCTTGCCCGAAATATAGAACTGCCCCCTCCCCCCCCCCCCGCCCCAATGAGACCTCAAAGCCCGAAACCTAGATGCGCCCTTGTGTTGTGAAGCCTTGCGGGTCCATGGAGCGACTTGCTGTGTTGTCAACATTGCCAGCGCAGTGGATTGATTTAAGCTCAAGGCCGCTGTGCGAGTTGTTTAGACACTTCTTTTCTTTGTGGCCATGGCCTCGTCATGCTTGCGAGCGCTGCAGCAGCAACAACTCGCGGAGAGCGCACCTCGGAACGGCACAGCAGCATAGGAACAGACGGCTTCACTCATGACCTGCAAAAATTACAAAAGGAGTTGAGGATGCGTGAATAGAGTCTGTTGAGTCACAGCCGAGCACACACGGATACCGGAAGTGAGGACTCCGATGATGAGTTGTTGCTGTCTACGGCTGCGGACCTCAGCGAGGTGTGGGCGCTGCAGTGTGGGGCAAACAGGGATGGGAGCTTGTTTTGAAGCTTGCTGCGCACATGACATGACAGTTGAGTGATTGGTATGCATGGACATCTTCAGGCCAAAAGTAAAGTGCACAGTTGGAATGTTGCGTCTAATTGAAGAGCGGGCGAAGATGTCTTGTTCCTGGTTCCTGTTCCCACGCAGCGTCTTCGTCCGTATAAGAAGCTGCGGGCGATGTTGCATCTGAAGCCCCAGCGGATAGATAGGCGTAGTTACATAGACATGGTCTTTTCCTTTTTTATTCTGAGAAGTTGTGCTAGCGATCAGCGCTGTCGAGCTCGCCCACTCCGATGTCCGGGTGTTGGCTTTCACCTTTTCAATTAAGTGGTCTAAGTGTTCTGACCTTCACAGCGACCTGCTGATGCCGATGGCGGCCGTCGCCGTCGGCAGCCTGTGGAAGATGGCGTTCACCCTCCGGGGGATTTTTGTTTGGGGTGGGTAGACTTGTAGGTTCAGGGTACTTATAATTCCAATTATCTCCCTAAGTCCTCTAAGTAGGTTATAAGTCGACTTCTAATTGGGGTTAGAAGTATCTATGAACCTCCAAGTACACTTGTTGTACTAGAATGCCATGACCTCCCAGTGAGCTTCCCATCCTGCGGTTTGCACAGGAGAACGACCGCAGCGCAATGGCATTGTCCCCTAGCTCCAGGACCCACCGAGGCCATCCGACCTCTTGGGGTCGTTTTTGCTTGATCCTTTGGCCCTTCCATTTTTTGGCGGACCTCCTGGTTTCTGGTTATTTCTGGACCCTTTCATCCTTGTCTCTGCAGCAGGAAACAACGGACACCGGAGCCGCCTGCGCACGCGCAGCGATGTGCAAGAGGCCCTGCGCGGCTCGCGCCCTGCGAACCCTTGCAATCGAAGTCGTGTCAACTTGGAGGCTCAGCTGCACTTGCAGAGTGATTGCAGGTAATCCGCTTCATGGAGGGTGAGGAGGAGGATATGGGCTCCCCATCCGCCAAAACAGAGACGGAGGCCAGGTGCTTGAGGCTTGAGGCAGTATTCTCTGTTTCGACGTGCTCTTCGCTGCGAAGGCCCCGGCGGCAAATACCACCTGCTGGGACAACCTCGACCCCCGCCTGCTCCCTGTGGTCCTGACGGTGTCACTCCTCTGCAGCGCAATCTGCTGGTTCTTCTTGCAGTGCCCGCTGTTGAGTGACTTGGCCCTGATATCCTGAAATACACGTCGCACAGCAGTATGCAAGACCAGCATAGCTATATGACATGCGCTAGCACGCGTGCGCGCCCACGGACGTAACTGTAGCCCAGTATGTTTCGGACGAGGTGAGAATGGCATGGGCCCTCTCCACGTTCTCCGCGCTGGAGCGGCCATGCCGTTTGTGCTGGCATTCGGCCCGGAGCTCGTTTTGTTTTTTTCCTTCGACCTTTGGTGCAGTGCCCTGGCAGCTGATTGCCTTTCGCCTGCAGGTCTCATGGCCTTCGCCAGCCAAGTGGACCCTGGCATGGTTCCGGAAGGGTACCCGGACTTAGCCATCGAGCGGTCCTACAAATCGTCACAGCCCCTTGGCTTTGCCATGATCCTCCGTCTCCGTCACACTTGTGATCATCCCATGTTCTTCTGCAGTGCGTTTTTTGTGGGGTGCTCTCTCGAGGTTCCCGCGCCGCATACGCAGACCCTTGCCCTGCAATTTTGGCGGGGACGTGGCCGGCGTCGGCAATACACATGAAGCCCAGCTCTTGTGTATCTGGCCGCATGCCTGGAATCCGAGGATACGACCATTTCTGCCGATGGTTGCTCAACGGCATCGGTTTGTACAACCACCGCGCAGCTTGGCTTAACCGTGAGCTTAGCAGGCTTAACAGTGAGCAGCCCTTATGTGGCCCTCTACATAGGACCCTTTCCCCGGCAACCATCAGAGCGTTGGGCTCAGGAGTTTTTCCTCCTGCTGATGGTCTTCACTGTGATGGTGACGGGAAGTTGCTTGGCTAGTTTCATTCCGAGTCCGAGGAGCGTGTTCTTGCAGCGCATGGACGATTTCCGTTGTTGTCCGTCATTCGCCAACTGAGGCTTGATCGTGGACGTCTACCTCCTCGCCGCTTTCTTTCGCCCCGAACACTGGGCCCGGGCCCTGGTTCCTGGCGTAGAGCTTCCGAAAGCCTTTTTGTCAAGCATGCGAAGCTGAGAGCAGCTGGATCCCAGGTCGTGGAGTGCTTGCTGGCCCCTGGGCTGCAAAAATCTTCACACAGTGCGCTTGAGACTGCTCGACAGTGAGACAGAGGTAGTTCCGAAGTGATGCGTTTCGATCTCTGGCTCTCGTTGCATCTCGCTCGTGAAGACGAGGCTGCCCATCTGACCTACGTTGTGGTATTTGCGTATGGTCTGCTCCCGATTGTGCGCCTACACGTGGCCTTCGTTTCGAGGACACCCCCGTGCACCCCGTGCTGGATTGACAATCTCATGGCTTACAGTTTTGTGATGTGTTGTGTGATTGCATGCTGGGAGGAATGAGCTGGCAAATGAATGGAAGGACGACCTAAACTACGTTGTGGACGATTTGGAGTGGTGCTCCCAGTTGGCTACACTCTCTTGCTATTCTCTTTGCAGGTCTCACTCTGTGTCTGTGCATGTGTATGTGTGTGTGTGTGTGTGTGTGCGCGTGCGTGAAGTGGGCATGGCTCGTGAGCCAGCACTGTGAGCATCCGGTTTCTTTGAGCACTTAGGGCGGGCACCTCGAAGTGGGTGGGAGAGCTGGACATCGAAGAATTCAACGACAAGTTCGACACGTTCCGCTATGCCCCTTGGATTCCTTGGCGTTCACCATGTAGACCCATACACTAAGCCAAACCCATAACTTCAATGAGCGATGGTGGAATGATGTGGCGTGCGTAGTTCGGGTTGCGCGTTCCCTGGGAGTTTGTCTGAGGACCCCACGCGAAATCGCTGGGACAAGGGCTGGCACATGAGCCTGATCTGCAGGGGCAGCATGTCAGACACTCTCAGGCTCTTCTCTGCGAAGTGTTAGCACGTTGCTGGCCTGTACTGGTAGGGCAAGCGGCAGGGTTGGGGCAATTCGGGCCAACATGATCCAAGGAACTGCTACTTGTTCTGGTGTGTCCCAAGATGGGACAAGCATCAGATGGGAGAGTTTTAAGGTGAGGCATGTGCAAAGGCTCAGCGGAATTCGTGAACGGCGCCCGCCGCGAAACATGCGTGGCGTGGCGTGGAGTGACGGAGCGCGCAGACATGCGCAGCTTAATGTCCGAAAAGTCTCATGTGCAGGGAGAAGAGGTAGGCTACGAGTCGGCCATGCGGGGCTCGTCCTACCACCTGTCGTCGACGTCCTTGGTGGTTTGTATGCGGGTTAGCATCCGTTGGAGTAGCTTGCAGCATAGTAGTCGTCTTTATTAGCAACAGCTGTTTAGCAACATGTGCAGGGAAGTTCCGGAAAACGCCTGGGCGGGACTGGCAGTGCCCAGCCGAAGGTCGGCGGAAGATGTGCCACCTGCGCACGGCAGCACACGTTTGGGTGCGTCCCAAGACGGGACTGAAGCATCAGACGAATTCCACTCGTGACGAGCCTTCCGCGCTGCCAATCCTGCGGCGTGGCCACCGGTCCTTGCCAGCTGCGTGAAAGAGGTGTTCTATCTTTGGAAGACTCGCGGACAGTTACTCATAAAGGTAGCCGCTATGTGTGTATATATATATATGCGTATATATACATGTATATATATATATATATTATGATGTTCGCGATATCAATCCATTCAAGCATTGGCGCCTGTGGCAAGTGGCAGGTTGGGTATCGTTTATCTGCCGAAGTGGGTTGTCTCGCCCTCAGAGTCTCCAACGCAAGCATGGGGAGGCCAACGAATCTAAAGACCCGAGGGTCAACCCCCACAAATTCCCTGAGACGCGCCTGGTGTGCTAAGGCCCGAGCTTTGACTGGTAGGGTGCACATAGGCTTTGTGTTGACTTCGCCGCCTTACCGGAACGAGGTCATCCACAACCCGGGTCTCTTCTTTCTGTGCGCACCTTAAAGTTCCAGTTTGTTGCTGGCACTGCGTGTCAAGCCCGCATAACCTCAGCATGCTCAGTGATATTGATGCCGTTCTGTTGCGGTGCTCCAAGAGCATCGCATGCTGCTCCAAGCGTCCATCGACTTACATCTCCACTAGGAGGTTCATGGGTAGTTACAAGTAGAGTAGGCCTATAAGTATGGTAACTACACTGAGAACCAGATGTTGGGTACCTAGAACCCTACTCCTAACGATCGACCCATGACTCCCATGAACCTCCAAGCGCACAAACCCTAAGCCCTAAACCCTCAACCCTAAACCCTAAACCCGTGCGTCGACTCGGAGAGGTACTGGTTTCTGGTTCTCTTTACTTGGCTCGTCTTCCTCTGGCGGTTCGTTGAACTGGAGCAGTATGCCATTCAGACACCCGTCCGGGGCTCAGCTCACAGCTCGAAGCAGTGATCAAGAGCGTTTAGGGTTGAGGGTTTAGGGTTTAGTGTTTAGAGTAGTTTAGGGTTGAGGGTTTAGGGTTTAGAGTTTAGAGTAGTTTAGGGTTTAGGGCTCTCTGTTTTGGTTCCTGCCTTTGAATGTTCTGCTTGCTGTGCACCACGTTCTGCAGGTCAAGGGCGTTGCCTCAATGCTGCCGCCCTGCCGGCCTGTTCAGACATTTCTTGTTGGCCACATGTGCGTGCCGGCCTCTCTCTTCATTCAGCCGAGTCCTTCACCAGAATTAGTCCGAGACCATCCGGTTGTGGGGACGATCTTCGTAAGAGTCAGCGATGAGCACGGCACTTTCCCGTATTTTGCACAGGTTTCACGACAAACCGGACGTCGCACGCGTGGACTCTGCCGTGCCAGGTTCGCATCGGGCCTGTCTGCTGCAGAAGCCTCCATGGCCATGGAAGCAGACAGGACTCAGAGTTCCATTCTGAACCATTTTCCATGTGGTAGGGTTGGACTCATCTTCTCCGGGGCTAGGTTGAGGCCCGGACTGGCGCCCTAAACCCTAAACCCTAAACCCTAAACCCCAAACCCTAAACCCTAAACCCTAAACCCTATAAACCCTATAAACCCTATAAACCCTAAACCCTAACCCTAAACCCTAAACCCTGTGTGAGAGCTGCGCAGGAGCAAGCCCTTTTGCACGCAGCCGTCGGAGCGCGACCCCCGGTTGGGGACGTGAAGAAGCCGTCAGCCTTTCAGAATTTGCTTCCCGCCCTAAAACTCGTATATCCCACCACGGCCGTGCGCAAGGTTCGGATATACCTTCTATGACGGAGGACAAAGTCCGGAGCCGGAAATTTGTTGGTGCAACATTCGTGCTCGTGCTGATATGCTGATGAGATCTTGCCGCATCAAAGAGGGGAGCTGAGATGCGGTTGCCCCCAAGGCTTCAACTACACCGACATTCACTGTACGCATCTTTGCCACGAAGCAGGCAGATCGCCCAGCTTAGCCATCTGCATGGAGCATTGCCAGGGCTCCAGTTTAGGGTTTAGGGTTTAGGGTTTAGGGTTCCGCTCACTGAGGCGGCATGAATAAGGCCTGCATGAACGAGGCAGAGATGAGTATGTCGGAGGCCCAGGATTGAGAAGGACCTGCTTGCCTGGCCGCCCTGATCCTTTGTACCTTGATATCCCACCGGTCCCCCATAAACCGCTTGTAGATGCTCAAGAAATCCTCTACAAGCCTCCTTAACCCTAAACTCAAAACCTCCTCACAAACCCTAAACCTTAGACCCTAAACCTTAGACCCTAAACCCTAAAACCGTAAACTCTAAACCCTGTACATCCAAAACCGCACACTGAGGGACTCACCGTCTGGGACTTTCATCCCCACCTTCTTTTCGGACCGGCCTTGACCAGCGTCGTTTTTTTGCGCAGCTGTCAGCATTTGTGCGGGTGGAGGCTGGAGGGCGAAGATTTTCAGAGAGCCGGGTACCCCCCCTCCCCCTGCACCACCCCCCCACCCCCCTCCCCTACCCCCCCCCCCAGCCCCCCCCTCCCGCCTTAGGTAGACAACACAAGGTCGAAAAAAATGGGGGTTTTCCGGAATCTGTGTTGAGCTCTATTCCTTAACAGGGCTCTAGGATGCGAGGGCATGGTTTTGCCCAGGGTAACCTTTCCATCTTTAGAAACCGGGAATCTCAGCTCCCACTCGCGGGCCAGTACGGGGGTTTCCGAATTGGGGGGGATTCTATTCGATTTGGGGTAGAAAAGGGGTACCCCTATTTGGGAAAATACTCGTATTTGTAGTAGCACCTTTTGAGGGGTACAGGGGGTTACGCGAGAAGATAGGGGTGTGAGGTGGATAGGCTGCAGCTGCAGGACGTCATGATGCACAGCCTGCACGACACTGCAGAGCCCAGGCTCCTGCTTGGTGAGCCTCTTGCGTGGAGGTTCATGAGTGGTGATGCAAGACCAGCTCCCCTAAAACTCAAGTACGGCACTAAACCCTAAACCATAAACCCTAACCCTAAATCCTAAACCCTAACCCCTCAAAGTGCGCCAGTCTGCTCTGTGCAGTTATCACTATGTGCCCGGCATTGAGAGCATGAAGCTGGCCTTCAGCACCTGTTCTGCAACGTGAGCCCTAAGCCGAGCCTTAGGCTAGGGTTTAGGGTTTAGGGTTTAGGGTTTAGGGTTTAGGGTTTAGGGTTTAGGGTTTAGGGTTTAGGGTTTAGGGTTTAGGGTTTAGGGTTAGGGTTTAGGGTTTAGGGTTTAGGGTTTAGGGTTTAGGGTTCAGGGTTCAGGGTTCAGGGTTTAGGGTTTAGGGTTTAGGGTTGGGTTTAGGGTTTAGGGTTTATAGGGTTTAGGGGTTAGCACGAAAGACTCCGATGCCTCCTACTAGTAGCCCTTCTAGATCCGTTAAGGGTTCATAGCTTGGCAATTAAGGGTTAATCACTTGGCAAATTCTAAACTCTCTGCATAGTCCCTAAAACTACGCCGTACATAGTCCCTTAAGGGATTATGATGCTCTTGATCCCGGTTGGCCTTAAACCTTAAACCCTAAACCCTAAACCCTAAACCCTAAGGTCACAACTACTACGCAGTCCGGCCAGACGACCTCATTGGTGGACCTAGGCAGGTCTGCGTGATCAAGCCAGCTCACCGAACCGAAGCTCAAGAAATGCCCTGAAGGGTCCCCTAAACTCCTACTTGTAGAGCCTATTTTCAGGGTTTCGCAGACTCGCTATTTAAGGGGTCAGTGGGCAAAGCAAGAAAACTTCATTTAATATTGGTTTTAGTGTCCCCTTGATCCTGTGTTGTGCAATTTGAGGGTCCAAAGCTGGGATTTGAGGAACTTTAAAAAACAATGGGCCAGCTGGATTTTGGGAACCTCAAAAACAAACACACCAAGATGCATTTTCAAAGCCCAAAAACTGGATGTTGGCAAGTTCTTTCAAGCATTAAGGCCATAAGATGCCCATGGGCCAGCTGAGGTCCGGGAAGTTACAATGCATGCCAGAACGCGTTGGAAGCTAACAAAAACAATGGATTTCGGCAGGTTCTTTCAAGAATTCAGGCTGGAAGATGCAAGAATTCAGGCTGCAAGATGCAAGAATTCAGGCTGTCAGATGCCCATGGGCCCATGTGCCAGCTGGGGTTCGGGAACTCAATATATACACACCAAATGCATTTTTGCAAAGCTCAACAACAAGGATCTCAAGAATTGCGTAAGATGCCCATGGGCCAGCTGAGGTCTGAGAACTTACGACACATGCCAAAACGCATTTTGCGCAGCTCAAAAAGTTGATTTTGGCAGGCTCTTTCAAGAATTCAGGCTGTAAGATAACTCAAAATACACACCAAAATGCATTTTGCAAAGCTCAACAGCAATGATTTTGGCAGGTTCTTTCAAGAATTGCGGCCGTAAGATGCCCATGTGCCAGCCGGGGTCCAGGAACTCAAAATACATGCGACAACGCATTTTTCGCAGCTCAAACAATCGATTTTGGGCTCTTTCAAGAATTGAGGCTGTAAGATGCCCATGGGCCAGCTGAGGTTCGGGCTCCAAAAGACATGCCAAAACGCATTTTTCGAAGCTCAAAAAATCGATTTTGGGCAGGCTTTTTCAAGAATTGAGTCCGTAAGATGCCCATGTGCCAACCGGAAACCAGTAACTCGGAAATACATGCCAAATCGATTGTTCGCAGGTCGAAAAATCGATTTTGGCAGGTCTTTGCAAGAATTGAGGCCGTAAGTTGCCCATGTGAAAAGTGCAAACCGGTAACTCGGAAATACGTGCCAAAATCGATTTTTCGCAGGCCGAAAAATCGATTTTGGCAGGTTTATCAAGAATTGAGTCCGTAAGATGCCCATGTGCCAACCGGAAACCGGTAACTCAGAAATACGTGCCAAAATCGATCTTTCGCAGGCCGAAAAATCGATGTTGGCAGGTTTTTGCAAGAATTGAGGCCGTAAGAGGCCCATGTGCCAACCGCAAACCGGCAACTCAGAAAGACGTGCCGAAATCAATTTTTCGCAGGCCAAAAAATCGATTTTGGCACGGTTTTTTACGTTTGGCGCTTGGTTGGGGTTGGGGCTCAAGTCGGCCCCCGCGGACAACAAAAGTCGATATTTGGGGTTCCAAATTCCCAACCCCAATTATCCCCAATCCCGGGCGGGATTGGGGATAATTGGGGTTCCCAACCCCCAACCCCCATTATCAACTCAATTGCCTTGGCCTCTTCGCGAAGAGCCGAAAGCAACTGAGTTGATAATGGGGGTTGGGGGTTGGGAACCCCAATTATCCCCAATCCCGCCCGGGATTGGGGATAATTGGGGTTGGGAATTTGGAACCCCAAATATCGACTTTTGTTGTCCGCGGGGGCCGACTTGAGCCCCAAACCCAGCCAAGCGCCAAACCCAAAAAACCTTGCCAAAATCGATTTTTCGGCCTGCGAAAAATCGATTTCGGCACGTCTTTCTGAGTTGCCGGTTTGCGGTTGGCAGATGGGCTTCTTACAGCCTCAATTCTTGCAAAAACCTGCCAAAATCGATTTTTCGGCCTGTGAAAAAACGATTTTGGCAGGTATTTCTGGTATTTCTGAGTTACCGGTTTGCGCTTGGCACACGGACAACTTACGGCCTCAATTCTTGCAAAAACCTGCCAAAATAGATTTTTCGGTCTCAAAAAATGGATTCTTTCAAGAATTGTGGCCGTAAGCTGCCCACAGGCCAGCTGAGGTCCGGGGGCTCAAAATACATGCCAAAATGTCATTTTTCGAAGCTGAAAAAATGGATTTTGGCCGGCTCTTTCAAGAATTGAGGCCGTAAGATGCCCATGTGCCAGCTGGGAACTTAAAATGCATGCCAAACGGTATTTTTCGCAAACACACAAAATGGATTTTGGTAGGTTCTTTCAAGAATTGAGGCTGTAAGATGGCCATGTGCCAGCTGGGGTCCGGGAACTTCATGTGCCAGCTGGGGTCCCGGAACTTAAAATACGTGCGCAAAATGCATTTGTCTCAGTTCAAAAAACGATTTTTGGCAGGTTGTTGGCAAAGTTCGGCCCTGGGATGGGGGATCAAGTCGGTAACCAGCCCAAATCCATTGTTTGAGCTTTGAAAAGTGCATTTTGGTGTGTGTTTTCTGAAGTTCCCGAACCCCAGCTGGCCCACGCGGCTTCACTGTTTTGTGAAAATAACACCGAAATCATCAAGTTGGTTACCGTGCCGTGGACAAAACTAGTTGATTGGGGTTCCTGGTCCTTCCTAACCCCAATCATCCGATTGGGGATAATTGGGGTTGGACTTGATCTCCAAGCTCTTAAAAACCGCGGGGGGGGGGGGGGGGGGGGGGGGGGGGGTTAGGGGAGTTGTTTTTACAAAAGAATGGAAGCCGCATGGGCCAGCTGGGGTTCGGGAACTCAAAGAAACACACCAAAATGCATCTTCACAGCTCAACAAATGGATTTTGGCAGGTTCTTTGAAGAATTGAGGCCGTAAAATGCCCATGGGCCAGCTGGGGTCCGGTAATTCAACATACATGCCAAGATCGGATTTTTGCGGGTATGTTCAACATTTCAGGCTGTCGGGAGGCCAATCTTGTTTGACTCAGATCGTTGTTAGCCCAATTGCAAAAATGGGGCCATCGAGCTTTGTTGCCTAAAGGTTTCGCGCTCCAGTTCTGGCTCCTTCTCATTCGAGCTATGAAGTTTTTTAAAAAGTGGTAAGTAGCAAGTCTGTTTCGGGTTAGGGATCTAGGGTTTAGGCCTTCAAGGGCTTAGGGTTTAGCGTTTAGGGCTTTCAAGGGCTTCAAGGGATTCAAGGGCCTCAGCCCCATAAGCCTCGAGCTCGAAGGGAGACCTTGGTCGGCAGCAGCGACGGTGCTGCCACTTCGGGTGCTCCTGTGACGACCGCCCTCGCCTAAGTGCTGGCCTGACGTCGGGTTTAGGGTCTGCAGGGTTCATACTGAAAGCTCCAAACCCTAAACCCAAAACCCTAAACTCTAAACCCTGAACCCAAACATCCCTGAACCTTAAACCTCAAACATAACATCTCTCAGACTCCAAGTTGCAAGGTGCTCCTGAACCATTCTGGGACCATCCTCAAGCGCTTTGAGCCCGGAGAGAGGATCAGCCTCACGGTGGAAGAGGTGGGAAGCCCTAAACCCTAAACCCTAAACCCTATGGAGGAGGCAGGTTCATGGGGCTCTGGGCCCTGAGACTTTCCAGGCTTAGACTTTTTTGCCGTTTCTGCCTTAAATATAGAGTTCTGCAGGGACTTTTCATGGTGGGAACGGGGTTGAAATCTGGCATCTGGTTGCTTGGCCGGCGAATCCGGACGCAAATCAATTGGGCGTTTCCCAAAATCAGGGTACCCCTTTTATACCCCAAATAGAATAGAATCCCTTAAAGGTACTTCCCCAAAAGGGTACCCCTATTTTCGGAAGCCCCCAAATGTTTACTGGTGCCATGCTTTGGGGCGGGTTGTATGAGAAGGACGGGAGACGTCACAAGTCATGGCCAGGCAGGCTATCAGAGTGGTTCCGCCGGCTTTGCAGCAGCTTCGGAGGGGGCCTAAAGGTTAAACCCCCAGAAACGATAGAAACCCTAGGCGCCCGGTAAGCCCTAAAATCCCGATAAACCCTCAGAAACCCTAGGCCCCAAACCCGAAACCCTAAAACCTTAGGAAGCCCTTGGCAAAACTTGCTGCGAAAGGTGCTGATGGCCGGCCAGGCCGAGGAGTTTGGAGATGATGACTCCAGGCCTACAGGTTTAGGGTTTAAGGGTTTAGGGTTTAGGGGCCTCCTCGTGTCAATGCGCACGTGTTTTGGTTTAGGGCCTTTGGGGTCGAGGATTTCGGGGATGTTTTCGGTCTTGAGACCTTAGGGCGGTTGAAGATCTCGAGGTGTTTAGGGAGCACAGGGTTATAGAGCAGATGGTTTTTAGAGCTTATCGGCTGTAGGGCGTGCGCATCGAAAGCAGCTTCCCCCCATGCTTGGCCACACCCACCTCACGGTTCGTGCGTAGACTTCGGAAGAAGCAGTGACAGAAAAAGGTCCCCGTTCTTCACCTTCTTGAAGGCACTTGCAACCCGATGAACCTTTCAAGCAGTGCCCGGAAGGCTTTTACTCGATGGCCGATACTACAACTTTGAAGAGAGAGGCTTGGCAGCATCCTTTCGCCGAGTGATGGCTGGTTTTGCCCGGCTGTCCCGAGTCAGACGCTGCGCGAAGGCTCCGCCCGCGGAATCCGTGCAGCCTGCAATGTCCCTGCGAAAAATTAGCCTCCATACTGCCTTCATTCGTACTGGTGCATTTTGCCCTAAAGCACCCGCCAAAGGCAAGTGTGCCCCAATCCTGGCTGACATGTTTGGCTTCTTCGCAAAATCGCCGTTTTGCTCCAAAGCACGCCCCCAACAAGCCCCCAAGAAACTTTAAACCAATCCTGGCTGACATGTTTGGCTTCTTCGCAAAATCGCCGTTTTGCTCCAAAGCGCCCTCCAACAAGCCCCCAAGCAACTTTACCCCAATCCTGGCTGACATGCGTGGCTTCTTTGCAAAATCGCCGTTTTGCTCAAAAGCACCCCTCCAACACGCCCCCGAGCAACTTTACCCCAATCCTGGCTGACAGGTTTGGCTTCTTTGCAAAACAGCCGTTTTGCTCAAAAGCACCCCTCCAAAACGCCCCCGAGCAACTTTACCCCAATCCTGGCTGACAGGTTTGGCTTCTTCGCAAAATCGCCGTTTTTCTCCAAAGCACCCCCCCAACAAGCCCCCAAGCAACTTTACCCCAATTTTGTCTGACATGTGTGGCTTCTTCGCCAAATCGCCGTTTTGCTTCAAAGCACCCCCCAACAAGCCCCCAAACAACTTTACCCCAATCCTGGCTGACATGCGTGGCTTCTTCGCAAGATCGTGGTTTTTTGTCCAAAGCGCCCTCCAACAAGCCCCCCAGCAACTTTACCCGCATCCTGGCTGACATGTTTTGCTCCTTCGCAAAATCGCCGTTTTGCTTCCAAGCACCCCCCAACAAGCCCCCAAGCAACTTTACCCCAATCTTGGTGGACATGTTTGGCTTTTTCACAAATCGCCGTGTTGCTCCAAAGCACCCCTCCCCAACAAGCCCCCAAGGAACAACTGCCCATATTTCACGTATGATATGATATAAGCAAACCTGTCAATCATAGAAATGGGAGTCTCAAAATCATTGGACAAGGAAAAACAAATGCTTTTTCATCTAACAGTACAGGTCTCAAACGATCAAAATACAAATCCGAGGATCTGAGCACATGATGTATGATACCCCTAAACCCCAAAACCTAAACCCTAAACCCTAAACCCTAAACCCTAAACCCTAAACCCTAAGCTTGAAACCCTAAACCCTAAACCCTAAACCCTAAACCCTAAACCCTAAACCCTAAACCCTAAACCCTAAACCCTAAACCCTCCCCAAAGATGTGCCACTCAGGAGTGATGCGAAGCAACACGCCCAGCGGCCCCCAGGGGCCAACGCCCCTTGGCCATCCTATGATGTTTGGGGTTTAGGGTTTAGGTTTTAGGGGTATTTTGGGTTTATGTTAGCAGAGCATTGGGAGCACAGCACAATCCGAACCGACTACCATTCTCCCTAAACCCTAAACCCTAAAGGGTTTCAGGATCCTTAAACCCGAAACTTGAAACAGGTTTCCTGCGTCGGCAACTGAGGTCGTCGAGGTTTGTCTCTGTTTGTTGCTTTTTAGGGTTTGACGTGTAGGGTTTAGGTGGTGTCCTATCGGAGTCCAAAGCTCAGTTGATCAGCAAACGGGGGGGAGGGGCAAGTAGTTAAGCAGCCAACTTTCCCTGAAACGGGCGCAGTTGCACCGTGGTGTTTTCCCGAATTGACCATACGGGCATTTCGAGGAACACCCTTATAGACCGCGATATTCCCTCAACAAAAAACCACATTAGATATTTAATAATGTAGGAGCAGGCCCCGAGTACTCGAAAGGATCACAGCCATCACGGGTCGGACTTTTGTCCACACGTTTTCGCAAGGTTGCGGTTGACCGGCGCTGACGTGACCATCAAAATCACCTACACGAACAAGGCCTACCCTGTTGAAAGCCGGATCCAACCTTTAGAGTGGCAAGAATGTCGCAGCCATGAGTAATATGTGTGTCCCTGCATCAGTTGCCATACAATACAAGTAACGAAAATGCTAATAATAATCATCATCATCATCGTCATCATCATCATCATCATCATCATCAATGATCTTCATCGCCGCCTGGTCAGGGCTACTGCCGCATGGAGAAGGATTCGCCCAGACTCTGGGTGTCAGGCACTTCGAACTCTCAAGTCCCTGCTCTCAGTACCTTCGGTTATTGCTCCCCCCCCCCCCCCCCAAAAAAAAAAAAAACCCAACAGCGGACACGGGCACCGATCCCGCGAGCTGAGGTCGCATGCGTTACCGTCCGAGCCAAGAGGGGCTGGACACAGAAAGTGCGAAATGCAGCCCGAGGCCTCAGCAAGCCTTAGCATGGCTCCGCGCGCAGCGTAGGTTGTAGCCATGAGATGTGAGCATCTCCCCAAAATGGGGAGGGGTACCCGAATGCCCGAATATACCCCCGAATACTATGATCCCTAATGTGGGACCCCCCCCCCCCCCAGAAGGGTACCCCGAATTTCGGAAACCCCCGTGTGAGCAAGGTCTTCAACGACGCAGGAGCCTTCTGGACCAGAACATACAATGGCCTCAAGGCTGTCCGTCAAAGTGTCCCAGGGTTTGGCTATGGACAGTGGCCTAAACCCTAAACCCTAAACCCTAAAACCCTAAACCCTAAACCCTAAACCGTGTGGAGCTGGCCACATCATGCCCGCTTCATGCAGATCTCCTTCGAGAGCACCGGGGTCTTCTCATCCTTCGACTCCTTCGCCCCTTGCTTGAACGGCACGGCCTGTACCGGCGGTAGATGGCGGTCGTTTAGCGGGCGAGGGGCTGCATGATGAAAGCAGCTCATGGAGGGACCCGAAAGTGAAACTTTTCTAAACCCTAAACCCTAAACAACCCCCTCAGATGCTTTCACGACCGAGGCGCTCTTCGAGAGCACGGAGCTTGGATTGAAGCCTGACGTCGGGTGAGAATCCCAAACCCTGAACCGTAAACTTTTGCCCTGAACCCTGAATCCTGAACCCTAAACCCTAAACCCTAAACCCTACAAACCCTAAACCGCCTTTGTGGAAGCGTCTGCAATGGTGGGAGTCCAGGTCTCACCATCCTCTTCATCTGGCTGCAAGTTCCGCTCGGGGCCTCATCTCAAACTCCCCGAGTGCCGCAGGGCTGAGGGCGTTTAGGGTTTAGGGTTTTAGGGTTTTAGGGTTTTAGGGTTTTAGGGTTTTAGGGTTTTAGGGTTTCTGGGTTTCTGGGTTTCTGGGTTTTTAGGGTTTTAGGGTTTTAGGGTTTTAGGGTTTTGGGTTTTTGGGTTTTGGGGTTTAGGTTTTAGGGTTTTAGTTTTGGGGTATAGGGTTTAGAGAATTATGGTCCCCTTTGCGGGTTACGATTATAAGGCGGCCCTGATATATTCAGGGCACCCACAAAGGAACCACAATCTTGAGAACCCTAAACCCTAAACCCTAAACCCTAAACCCCCTTTTTGAACAGAGCTTCAGGTCGCTGGTCATCTACGTCATGGCGGCGTTCATGCTGGGCACCCTGTCCAAGGTCTATTCCAGCGTGCGAAGCCCAGCCGCTGCATCGTTGGGGTTGATGTTAATAAGGAAGCGGGGTTAAGGGTTTAGGGTTTAGGGTTTAGGGTTTAGGGTTTAGGTGTTACAAGGATGGGCTAGTATACCCTACAACTACAACCCCTTAAAAAAGGCCCTTTATGGGGTTGCTTGTGGGGATTCTAAGGCCTAATGGCCCATCCTGGTATAAGGAGCTGGAATCAAGTTACCATAGGACGGAGCTACCATGTCACCTACAATGTATCCCTATAGAACCGAACTTAAGTTCCTCGACAGCAACCCAGGATTGCGTGTCAGAGGGAAGGGGTGCGGCCAACCCCGCAAGGTGATGCACGAACAGCGCGGCTTGATCGGAACGACGGCAGGCCAGATGCAAAAGCACCAAATGGGGGGTTTAAGATAGGGTTTAGGGTTTAGGGTTTAGGGTTTAGGGTTTAGGGTTTAGGGTTTAGGGTTTAGGGTTTAGGGTTTAGGGTTTAGGGTTTAGGGTTTAGGGTTATGGGGGGTTTGAGATAAGTAGGGGACCCCTAAAATAGAACCCCCCGCCATAGTAGGACTCCCTTATAATCAGGACCCCAATATGGTAACCCGAATATCGCACATCCCATACTGGGTGTCCTTAGTGGGGATGACTAGAAATAAAAACCCTAAACCCTAAGCCCTGATTCGGAAACCACCCCGGCAAAAAAAACAAAAAAAACAAATCCTTACCCACCCTAAACCCGAAACCCTAAACCTTAAACCCTAAACCCTCAACCCTAAACCCCTGCGTTCTGAAGCCTTCGTGCCCAAGCCACAAAGAGAGATGCGCCTTGCAGGCATCGCTGCGCGCCTGCTGAATTGTGCCAACCTTGGAATTTTGCAAATTGGGGTTCAGGGTTTAGGGTTTAGGGTTTGGTCTTTAGGGTTTAGGGTTTAGGGTTTAGGGTTTATAAGGTTCAGGGTTTAGTGCTGTTAGGGGACGCTCGCGTGATCACCGTAGCACGAAGAGCTGGGTATTGTGTTACTTGCATGTGCCATGTGCAGCCGAACACATCTTTTGTACTTTCGCCACTCCGCGAGCTGCCAGCTTAGCCAACATGCCTAGTCATGATCATCTGACTGCGCCAGAGAGAGAGTTGCAAGACGATCGTGCAATTGACAATGAGTCGAGTATAGTGTGTCTTCTGGTGTGCTCCACTCAGCAGACCCTAAACCCTAAACCCTAAACCCTAAACCCTAAACCCTAAACCCTAAACCCTAAACCCTAAACCCGAGAGATCTGCCACTGAGCCCCTCGCGTCTCGATGGGCGCTTCAAGAGCGCGCCAGCATGGCCCCGTGCTTTGGCTCCCGGTGCCAGGAACTGGCGTCCGGCGGGGCGCTGCGTCGCTAGGTTCCACGGAGGTACCCTTACTAGGTAGGCTCTTGATACATTTTGTAGTATCCCTTCTTGGGTTTAAGAGGATCATGTTCCGGAATATTTTTCAGAGGGTTCTAAGGGCCATCCTAGCTTCGATCCCTTGGTTTCAAGGGGTGGGCTCCCTTATACAGGCCATGAGAGAACAAAGGGCTCTTTATTTTTTTGTTTTCCTCCTAGGTTGCTGGATGCTAAACCCACTAGTGGCACCTTAAGAGGGTTTCCTCTTTTTGTCGATCAAGTTACTGGGGAACTGAGGTCAGGTCAAGCGGTTTGTCCTTGGCCTCGGCATGATACAGACCATTGCCGCCTCTGCCCTGGTGGCGCTGTTGATCATGACCCTGATGTACTACGCTACTTGCCGGCAGCTCATGTATACACTGTATATGCTGTGCCAGAATGCTCGAAATCCATGTAGTTCCTGGACCGCAATTTATCATTGGTTCGGGTTTGACTGTGCCAGCACCCTCAAATAGACCCCCATATACTAGGATTCCCTTATGCTATTTTCAGAAACTCCCATGTCCGGCCAGTGTTCCATGCTTTTTGTTTCACCGGACTGATGTACTTCTCATTCGGAGAGGGCGCATTGGTAGGAGAATTTGATTGGGGGAAGGGCGAGGGGCCTGAGGCCGCCACGGTTGTCAGAAGATACGTTCACACGGACCCCGCCAGCTACGCGCAGAACCTGTCCGAGATTCTTTGCACGTACCCCGGCAGCTCAGCCATCTGACATTCCAAAGCCTAACCCTAAACCCAAAACCCGCGGCCCCACCCCTGACAATCCCTGACATGCCTCAGGATTGGATACGCATCGTTGGTCTATCACCTGCATTGGCCGGCATCCTTTGCGGCAAGCATCAGCTCCACTTCCTTGTACCTGGGCCTTGCTGCTCCGCCTGAAAGTTTGCTTGCGAGATGGAGTCGTTGGTGTTGCTTTGGGTTCAAGCGTTGCAGGGTCTTGAAATTGCAGCTTTACACTGAACCCTACGCCCCAAACTCTAAACCCTAAACCCGGGTTTTTTCCCTCAACCTTTTTCGTCGGTTCTGAAGGTTAGAGTTGCCCAGCCCGCCGTCCATCGAAGCTCCTCCCTTAAGGCCAGCAACGGCCTGGAGCTTGTGGGCTTCGTACTTCATCCCCAACCCTACGAAGCTTGGAGTGAACTTTGGCTGGTCGTCGTCGAAGTGGTTTTTTTCGGCTTTAGGGTTTGGGGTTTAGGGTAGCCAAACTAGCAACAGTACTTGTCAGTGGCGTGTCGCGATCATGGCATACCATGGTCGTAGTCCCATCGACGGCGCATGAGCACAAGTCTCAGCTATCACAAGTACAATGTCCCTGTCATGGATCGAGCCCCAGTCGTAAAAGTCCACTCACTGGTGATGGCAGGCTTCGTTGTAGTACCTGGGAATTTACGAAAATAGGGGACCGTAATATAAACCCCCAAATTGCACGTAGGATTCCCTTATAATAAGGACCCCAATAGGGTACCCCTAATTTCGGAAGCCCCCACCTGATGAAAATAATTAGTCAAGGCGGAGCAGTCGTCAAGTTTCTCAGGACTGCTATGTGCCAGACAGAGGGGTGCTGGGTGGAACGGCCCTCTTCCTGCTTCTGTCAGCTTCGCAGGCAAAGGACATGGGTCATTCTGTGGGATGAGGGTTTAGGGTTCAGGGTTTAGGGTTTAAGGGTTCGGGGGGGGGGGGGGTTCGAATGATTCTAGTCTAAAAACGGGTCTCTTCTGAGTGAGCTCTCATCCTAACAGTTCGTAAGAACGGCCCCCAATTGTTCTGTCTTGGGATGTTCCCCCTTGTGCTCACAGTCCTTCATAGGGGTTGTAATAGGGGGTACTATAGTTCCTATTAAGGACTGCTAGCATAAGGGGAACATCCCAAGTCATGTTTGTAGAATGTGGGGTGGTTAGATTGCCTTCGCGCTAGGTGATGCTGACGTCCTGGGCTTCTATGCAGCTGCGGCGCTGGAAAGTGGCCCGCAGCTTACAACCCTGTAGCCCTTAGCCTTGTAAACCCTGAACCTCAGCCAAAAAATTTTACCCAAGCCCTAATAGCTTATAAGCACGAAGCCTTACAAGCCCTAAACCGTACTAAGCCTGAACCCTGGCCTTGGGGATGGGGATGCACTTCCTTCGTTCAGAACTGCTGACCTCCTGTGATGCAAGGCAGCTGCGGCCGATGATGCCCAAGAAATGCCGCAGGGCACCCAGAGAGTTTTTGCGGTCTAGGGGTTTAGGGTCCACACCACGCCGACGCCCAACCCACGAAGCAAAGTGGGTGAGTGCAGATCCCCCGGGCCCAGGGGTGACCCGCAGCATGGCAAAATCAAGCGGCACCACCCTTGCCAACTTGCACACTCTCCTCATGCCATTGTTGTGTATCCGTAAACAGAGTTCAGGCTCGCACCTCCTCTCCAAGCATGGTGACAGGGCACAGTTTTCATGGTCATGGAAATGGCATCGAACAGCAGCTGCTTTGCAGTGAACACTAGCCCGAGCTGCCAGAACTACTTGGGGTAGTTTGCACTTTCCTTTTTTTGGGTGTAAGAGGCTCTTGTTCAGGAACAGTCTCAGAGGGCATCCTAGTACATGCAATAATGTCTCCAAGAAGGTTAGGAGGATCCCATCCGAAAAAAGCTTTAAAGCTTTTTGGACTGAGAGGGGGGGGGATCCCACCGTTGCTTGTTACCAAATGACCTACTCGCAAAGGCTCGCAACAAACCGACACCCACCAAAAACAACCCCCCCTGGCCAGAGCAGCAACACCCCGCGCGAGAAAAACCACACGGACGACACCGACGCTGCATCCACAGCCGCAGCCACTAAAGTGCAACACAACAGCCACAACAACAAACAACTGCAAGCAAAGACCCAAGCCCTGCAATGTCTTACTGAAGCCCTCTGAAGCCCCCTTCATCGCCTCCTAGGACCCAGAGTAGGCTCCCCTGTAAGGCACCCAGGTTATTGCGACGTGCCTCTTGGGTCTCGCCTCAGTTATGACCCTTTCAATCCTAAGCCAACCGCTACAGTATGGTAAGACTCGCTGTGCTGAGCAGCGAGGTGGTCTGCAGTGCTTCTGATCGTGTCAGCTCTCTTCGCTCTCTCGCTGCTCAGCAAAGGGGACTCTTGGCTCGAGTTGGAAAGTTCAGATGTGTTGTGGGTTTGCCTGTAGAGTGATTGGACGGGTTTTGAAGGGAGGCTGGGGGCGAGTCTCCCTAAACCCTAAACCCCAAACCTTACACCCCAAACCCTAAACCCCAAACCCTAAACCCCAAACCTTAAACCCCAAACCCTAAACCCCAAACCTTTAAACCCCAAACCCCGAAGCCCTAAACCCTAAACTCGCATCTTGACGCAAGGACTGTGGTTCGCCAGTGGCCGATGCAGTGTGGTCGGCTGCTTTTGCGATCGATGACATTGTCATGGTTCCTCAGCATCCTGTCGTCATTTGCCTTCAAAATCTCGAAAAGTCATAGTAGGTATCTACCTATATATATATATATATGTGTGTGTGTACATATATGCATTGTGTTGTATCTATGTATATATGTATTTATATAGTATACAGTATATGGTGTAAAAACATACCGCGTGCAGTAGGCTTCCTTGCACCTCTCTCTCTCTCTCACTCACTCACTCTGTCTCTCTGTCCCTCTCTCCCTTCCCTCCCTCGCCCCTTTCTTTCTTCCCTCCTTGCCTCAGTCCATCTCCTAAACCTTGACGCCTGAGCCGTAAGCCCTTGGAGGTTCATGGTACTTATTTCCCAAACATAAGTGCACTTAGAACCCACTTATCAGCCCCTTAGGTGCCCAAGTATGGTGATAAGTGCAGTTATAAGCATATAGTTATAGTTATAATTAGTTCAGAAGTACCATGAACCTCCAAGTAAAGCCTTGTTGCCTGGTTCATGATTGATTGACTCAGGATATGGCTGGTAGCCAAGCGGAAGGAGGTGACTCGGCCTTGAACCTTAGGCTGAAATTTTACCACACACCCGTTAAGCAATGCGGGGTTTAGGGTTTAGGGTTTAGGGTTTAGGGATAGATGCCTATAATTCTGCATTTTGAACGGCTACCGGGCTCCCCGTGTGCTCTAGGTTCCGATGCCCCTGGCCACGCTGGTCCTTTTCACTTGGACGCCTGGCCTGAAGTGTTCAGGGTTCAGGGTTTAGGGTTTAGGGTTTGGGGTTTAGGGTTTAGGGTTTGGGGTCGGCATAATTGCGAAGAGTTTTCCCTTAGGGTCCCTTTGTAAAGATACCATAATAACCCCCAAAGCCCTGTTCAAACTATTGAGGCCCCCTATAGTAGCTGCAAGTCCAAGATCAAGGATATCACCAGGTGTAAGGACTCTGGAAGTTCTCAAGCCCCCCCCCCCCCCCCCCCCCCCCCCCCCCCCCCCCCCAAAAAAAAAAAAAAAAAGAGAAACTCTCCCCAAAGACCCGAAGCTTCGAATCCTGAGGATGGCCACTCTCATTGAGCTGCTCTCTGACTTCATTGGAATGCAGTCCAAAGTGCTTTCGGGTTCTCAGCGCCTCGGCTTGGACGGTTTACCGGGTTGGGCTTGACGGTTTAGGTTCTATACAGGGTTTATTCATAAGGGGCTTACGGGATTACAGGACCCTAGGCCCGCTCTTAGCTTTTGGGGTTTATAAGGGTTTGGGGTTTAGGGATGTTTAGGGTTTAGGGTTAATTGCGGTGATTGAGGCTCTTTCAGTGCTGAGTTTGCTGAGGTTTGCAGGCAATTGCTTCATGTACGCGTGGAACGATTTCTTGTCGCTGGCCATCTCTGCAGATTTCGCGTACTGGTACGCCGCCTGGCTCCTGAATCAAGCCCCCAAGCAACACTGTTAAAGCAGACTGGCCCCTTCACTACACCACATTGGCTGCGACGGTGTCCAGAGCATCGGGACCTAAGCAGCTCAGGTCCCAATATGGGGTATTCGGCCTTGTAATCCCCTAACCAACCCTATAAAGGGCCTTTTTTAAGGGGTTGCATAGCGTATAATAGCCCACGCAGGTCTACTCCCTCTTGTGCCACGATTCTGGCGTCCACTGCCTGAAGCTGCCGGTGTGACGTCTCGTAGATTCCGCCTCGACATCCCACGCTCCCAGGGCGCGGCAACGCGCTCCATGAAGAACGTCAGAAACCACGAGGAGCGGCAAGGGGGCACAGCTTCCCCCTAGTGTCTGGGAAACTACCTGAAGGCTCCAATGTAGTTCCTTAGTATACTACCCCAAGAAGGTACTACACTGGAGCCTTTGGGTAGAGCTTGTCACGAGGATGCGGGAGAGGCCACCGGCATGGGTCATTCGCGGCCGAGCTGTGGGGAGGTCCGATCATGCGGCGAGACAGTACCTGCGGAGCCCTCCGAAAAAGCGAAGTTGCCAATCCCATGTAGTGATGCTCGATGCACTGGTGTGACTCACTTTTGACATCTTTTGACCATGCCTGCTGCCGAGATAGCTCCACGTACAACGACCTTCGTGATGATCAGGCCAGGGGTAGCCACGTATGCGACTTACTGAGCAGGCCGGCCCAAAAAAGCGGGAACAACCCAGAAATGAATTTTGCAGGGTCATCAGACACAAAGGGACCGTACCTTAAGCATGTGGTAGATTCACCCCCCAAAGCAGGTTTCCTGTTTGAACCCCTATAAACACTTGAACTCTTCTGAACCACGGAGCCCCAAAAAAGGAACCCGGAAACCTAAACTCATAGTACCCTAAACCCTAAACCCCAAACCCCTAAACCCTAAACCCTCCGTTCATGTGGAACCTGTTCCAAATGCAACACGGCCTGCAGGGCGTGACCAAGCAGCGCATGGTTGTGGCCCGAGACGTCCTATTGCAGGGTTTCGGGTTTAGGGTTTAGGGTTTAGGGTGTAGGGTTTAGGGGGATTTACGATCTCTTTTTATGGGAGGGAAGAGACCTCACCTGAAATTTGGTGTACCAAAGAGGGGACCAGAATGTCGAGGATGCGTGTAGCCATCCTCAAGCAACCTTGGGAACACTCAGCAGAGCTCAGTTGCGCCGCTTCAACTACATCCTGGCGCATGAAGAAGACCTGGATGCGAACGAGCGGGAGAAGCCACTGCCTCAGCAACACTTCGGAGCAGAGACGCGTGGCCCCAACATTGAAAAAGCCTCACGTTGCAGGTTCGTGGACTTTGTCTACAAAAGCATTCTGTCAAGCGCAGCTTGGCCGACAGAAGCATCAGTAGGGGCATGGTTGAAGCGAGGTGGCACTCGGGTTCATGTCAGCATGCCAGGGTGGCATGGATGCGCAGACCTCCCACGCCGATATGCTGTCCTTCTGCCGCGGGCTTGGTGGTTGAAGCCGAAACGTAGCACCACAGTCACTTTGGTTCAGGGTTGAGGGTGTATATAGGGTTTAGAATTTGGGGTTCATGGTTCAGGGCTTCTTATGCGTCACTTTGGTTTAGGGTTTCAGGTTTTTTTTTATATATAGTGTAGGGTTTAGGGTTCATGGTTTAGGGCTTCTTATGACTGGCGGGAAGGTAGGAGAGAACAGGCCCCAAGGAACCACAAGGTCCTCTGCTAGTTTCAAGGAGGGATCCAAGATACGATCCCTTCAAAGAACAAAGAGCAGCCGCCATACACACCTTGGGGCCCAAACGCTGAGACCATGTATAACAGGGTTGTTCATGGCTTAGGGTTCTTTGTGGGAATTTTGGGCCTAATCTTCCTGAACAAACCGTTCATGGGGTTGCCCAGGGGGATTCCAGGGCCTAAACCCTAAACCCTAAACTCCGAACCCCAAACCCTAAACCCTAAACCCAAAACCCATCCTGGCGGTTCTGACCATCGCTGCGATGATTCAAGGCACGGCCTGTTCCAGTGGCGAGCCCCTTAGCTTCGAGGCGCGGGCTGAGGCTTTAGGGTTTAAAGGGTTTAGGGTTTGGGGTTTAGGGTTTAGGGTTTATGTTTTGGGATTTAGGGTTTATGTTTTGGGGTTTAGGGTGTAGGGGGATTCTGAATTTAGCTTGGAGCAGCTTGGACCCTTTTGGGCTTAGAGCGTGTAGGCTTCGTGCCGGAAACCCTAACCCTAAACACTAAACTCGGGGGTTTCTATGACTGAGACTGAAGGTGGCCTTGGCTTAGGAAGCAAAGCTGATGCGCTGCCGGGTGCAGGGTTTAAACATGGGTTCCCAAGAGTTTAGGGTTTAGGGTTTAGGTTTTGGGGTGGCAATACGGAACTGTCGTCGACGCTCACACGCTTTGTGCCAGATCCTCCAAGCATTCTTCAACCGCAAGAAGCGAGTGGGCTTGGACCGGAGCCTACGGCACATGACAGCTTAGGGTTTAGGGTTTAGGGTTTAGGGTTTAGGGTTTAGGGTTCAGGGTTCAGGGTTCAGGGTTCAGGGTTCAGGGTTTCGGGTGGTTGTATCGTAGGGTTCCTCTGTGAGTCTCCAGTATAAGCTCTTCTGTTGGAAGAGACTTAGAGCAACCCTTCGGACAGACTTCGCGATCCGTTCATGCTTGCTGCTAGTGCGTCTTGAGGTCGAACGGTGCTTCCAGGATTCCAGCATCTCCGCCAAAAGCTCAGATCACATGGGAGTCCTGAGAGTCTGGGGAGTGCCCAGCTTTGCGGTGATTAGATAGCCAAGACACAACCCCAGAATGGGACCCCAAACCTACTATTTGCTTAAGACTTAAGAACCCCCAAAAGAATATCCCTTAATGAGGAAGAATGTCTTTCTTCTTTGGGGGTTCGTAATCAATTGGTAGAAACTCTCTACTCAAGCCCTACTTTTGAACAACTCCCAGATGCCTTCGCAGGCAATCCAGAGCGTGAGCCAGTCCCAGCTGAACATTCAGGATGAAGGCACCCGACTTGAGAGAGCCTAAGTACGGTTTCGTACGCTTTATAGGGCTTATCGAGTTTCCGGAGCTTTTGCAACTTTGCCTAAACCCTAAAAGGCCCTGAACCCCAAACCCTAAACCCCAAACCCCTAAACCCTTAACCCTAAACCCTCTTGAGTGGTGCAAGCCTCCCGCCAGATCTGGACTCCTGATCCGTAGCGTTAGCATGTCGTAGCGCACGCAAGAGCTCCGTTGATGCAGGCACCGAAGACGAGCCCCTGAAGGACGAGCAGGGTTTAGGGTTTTGGGTTGTTCTTGGGTTGTTTTTGGTTTTGGGTTTTGGGTTGTTTTGGGTTTTGGGTTGTTTTGGGTTTTGGGTTGTTTTGGGTTGTTTTGGGTTGTTTTGGGTTGTTTTGGGTTGTTCTGGGTTGTTTTGGGATGTTTTGGGATGCTTCGGGTTGTTTTGGGTTGTTTTGTGTTTTGGGTTGTTTTGGGTTTTGGGTTGTTTTGGGATCTGGGTTGTTTTGGGATCTGGGTTGTTTTGGATTTTGGGTTGTTTTGGGTTTTGGGTTGTTTGGGGTTTGGGGCGGTTTATGTTTTGGTTAGAGGGTATATCATAGGGTTCTATGTACATGTTGGTGAGTGTGTCTGAAGAGCAAAACCCAAAACCCAAAACCCTAAACCCTCAACCCTCAACCATAAACCCTAAACCCTAAACCCTACCTCTCATGCTCCCTTGGGTCTCTCGGCTCCGTCAGCCAGGATGCTGCCGCTCCGGTGGGACCTGCAGGCTCGCCCTCCTACATGTCAAAGTGGCACCTTAAACCCTCAACCCTCAACCCTAAACTTATGGGGAGGGCTCTGGGTCATTCGGGCCCCTTCTGAGGCAATTACTCTCAGGGTGCAGGGAAGCCAAGAAGGTACCCTAATTTTGAGAACTACCCATAAGGCTTAAAGGGTGTAGGGTTTAGGGTGAGTTCGCCACAGCAGAGATGTTGATCTTGATGGATGTACCGTCGAGGCCAATCTGGCAGCGGGCACGGGACTTATCCTTGCTGGACGGGTCATGCGGCTTGGAGTGTGCAGCCTGCACAGCGTCGAAAGTGCCAGTACCGGAAACCCTAAAGCCAAAATCTTGTTACACGATATACTGTATACCCCATAAACCCTATCTATTCCGCACAGTATGTATGTATATATATATATATATATACATATACGTATACAAATAAATAAATAAACATATATATATATATATACATATATATCTATATATAATAAATATATATATATATGTGTGTGTATGTATGTATACTCCATATTATGTATGCCCCAAAACCAAGTTTACTCAGGCTAGCAGAACGCTTGTGGCATGCGCGGATGAGGGCTCAGGGATTCCCGAACCCTAAAAGCCTCCAGGTTAAGGGAACCCTAAGCCTTGAACCCCCCAACCTCTAAAGGCGCTTCGTGAGAAGCCCGTGTCTTTCAGGCTTCTTGGCAAAAGCCGCAGATCTTCTCCAATTCACCACCTTCTGACCCCTGACCTAAACCCGGATGCAGCAAACCCTAAACCCTAAAAACCCTGCAATTCACGGATCCTCGTCTGAGCTAGGTGGGAGACCCCGGAGCCAAAACCATGCTCAGGTCTCGACTTGGCAACATTCACGAAGAGAACACCCGAATGCAAGAACGCGGAGACCTGAGCTGACCGGGGAGCAACATCGCGCGTTCGCGCGCGCATATCCCATGCTAGGCCCCACACCCACACTGCTTGCAAGTTCTTACTCCTACCCTACTCCTACAGCGACAGCAACGACGACGACTACCGCTGCTAGTTTTGAAGGCTGTGCCGAAGTCACCGAAAGCTTGAAGGAGACCCTGAAGGTGGCCAGGGCCTCGGCTGGGGCAGAGTGGGAACAAGAGCCGAAAGTTCTCGACTCGACGTGATGAGATGCTTGCTGACAGGGTTTCGGGTTAGTGATCGGGTGGCTTTGTCGAGCTTCGAGGGATGGTTTGGACTTTCAGGGTGGCAGGGCTTCGGGGTGTTCTGCAAGTATGCTTCAGCCTGCCATGCACGCGGACTCAGTGTGACAGGGATGAGAAAGGATGGGAGCGGAAACAGGATCTTTCTTGACACCTAGCCGACTCTGTACCAGTTTTCTGTCGTTTGCAGCCATTTTGGCTTGTCAGCCACTTTGGCACTCGGCCGGCCAATGGCTGCATGGAGATGGTTCGTTATGCAATGGGCTAATGAATCTAGCTTTGCCGTATGACATATATGGGCAGTTCGACAGATCTGAACGAACCATCTTCCTGCAGATCCCACTCTGCATCCTTCGGCTATCTGGGAATGACTCTGCTGGCGTCTGCGGGAGTTCCCCTGGCCAAGGCAGGGACGTGGCAGGGTAAGACATGGGTCCTTATATGGGGCCTTTGCAGTGGAATATTAAACCCGCTCAGGGCTTTAAGTAAGCTTGACAACGCAGGAGCCTAAACAATTGCCAACAGCATCCCCTTACAATCCGGATATGCTTATATCAGACAGAACCGTTACTTCAATAGGTCCTGTAAACCCCATAAACCCCAAACCCCCATTGCATGAACTTTGAGAACTACGGGGTGCCGAGGATGGCGACATTCTCCCGAACAGTGTCGTCAGCGACGCCCACAACAAGACGTGGTCAAATACCTTTGGAGAATTCTCGCTTTGCTTGCTGGTTCAACAGGCAGGGTGGTGGAGAGCCCCTCGGGCCGAGAAGGGTCGCGACAAAACGCTCAAGTCAGGAAGGCCCGGTGGGTTGACTCAGACGCAGGGGGCGTGCAACCTCGGACGTGCGGGGAGCTGGGAGGAGGGAGAAGGCGACGGAGACACGGAGCATGCCGGCGAGTGGCAGCTGAAACTTTCCCGCGAAGCTAGGTAGCCCCCTGGGATGCTTTTTATATATTCTCCCTTCCTGGGGTCAGAGTAGGAGGAGCATTTTTCAAAATAATCACCCTAAACCCTGAACCCTAAACCCTAAACCCTAAAACCGAAGCCCTAAACCCGGCTTTCAGGAGCCAAGCCAGGATCCACAGCCGAAGCTTTGGGGATCCGACTTCGGCTCGGAGAGCAACCTGTCCCTTTTTCCGCCATGGGAATTGTTTTAATATTTTTGTGTATATAAAACCCAAGAGGACATTAAAGACATCTCTTTTTGTTTAGATAAAACCCAAGAGGATATTAAAGACATCTTTTTTTGTTTAGATAAAACCCAAGAGGATATTAACAAATGGTGTTGTTATTAAGGTTCTAGGGGGAGCCTAGGTCCCCGTGGGTTCCCGATGCCAACCTCCAGATCGAGTCTGCCTTGACCAAGAGGCTTTTTGTTAGGGTTTTGGGGGTTTAATGTTCTTTATGGGTTTAGGTTTTTTTGGGGTTTTGGGGTTTAAGGTTCGTTTGTTGTGGTTTAGGGTTTAGGGTTCGGGTATGTTCGGGTGTTGGGGATTTAGGGGCCGTAAGAGTGCTGAGGTTATAATGGCATGGGTTGCCTTAGCTACGACGATAGCTTAGACTAGCATCGGCTACCTTGTACTTTATCACATCTAGACGCATAGCGGTGGGCTTTAGCTACGGATCTAGGGATGCATCCCATTCGAGGTTCCCTTTACAAACCAGAGCCCTACATACCCTCTGGGGCGCTGTTCTGAACTCGGGTCCCCCTGTAGCTCATTTTCAGAAGCCACCTCCCCAGGCAAGCTTGATGTAGAGCAACCTCTGCTGTCTGAACCCCCCCCCCCAACATGGGGGTTTACGAAAATAGGGGACCCCTAATATAGACCCCCAAGTTGTAGGATCCCCTTATAATAAGGCCCCCAAGGAGGAACTCCTAATTTCGCAAACCCCCCTAAACCCTAAACCCTAAACCCTAAACCCTAAACCCTAAACCCTAAGTAGCTTCAGACAGACGGAGAGGCCGGCCAAGCTGACGACCGGCCAGCGCATCTTGAAGGCAGCATCGGCGGCTCGAAGAGTCGCTTGCCTCCTCCTTATCTGAGGCTTCGTGTTTAGGGTTTAGGGGTTTAGGGGTTTAGGTTTTCGGGATTTAGGGTTTAGGGTTTAAGGGTTTAGGGTTTCGGGTCCTGGGGGTCCCCTTCATTCTTTGGATGGTTCTTAGGTTCTTGGGCAGCTTCTGTGTCGAAGTGTATAGAAGCTGCCCATCCATGCACATGCATCAAGGCATGCGTGTGCCGGGGGCCGCAAAGCACTGAGGTCGGGATCAGGAAGTCGTTCGCGGTCCTGTGCATTGAGCAGGAGGTCCTTTGTGATGACGAGGAGGCAGCGAAGGTCACAGTTCGGCATGATGCTGGATGCAGGCACCTCCTCTCCGTCTGCAAGGGGGTGGGAAAGGCCACGCTGATGGCCGACCGCCTTGAGGAAGAAGCTCTCGATTCTATCCGGGCCTGCATGGCCAGAATCGTACAGGCGGCGGACGGGGAGTCCATCGTCGGCATCACAGTCGATGTCGGCTACCTTTGGTTGAAGCATCAGCGGAGCCTTCGCCAGCTGTTCCCGCAGTGCCTGGTGCTTGTAACACCGATGGTTCAGCTACCCCTCATCAGAACATGCTTCTCTTCAAGGGGGAAGACCTTGCTGGTCACATGGGAACCTTGGGGCCGACGTGAACCCCAAAAAGGGTCTCTGGTTCATAGGCCTGAAATAGTCGAACTCCAGCAGTATTTAAGGGGTATATGACCCCAAGGTTTGGGTTCCTTTGACCCCCAAGGAAGATGCAAAGGCCCCCAGGGCTGACGTGCAGAAAGCCAGGGAAGTCTGCGAAGTCCTTTGCCTCAGCACAGAGGATGAGAAGTGGTCGAGCTGGCTATGGGGAGGGGCTGCTCCTCTTGAGGGAACCTTGACGCTGGAGCTTGCGGCCTTGGTTCAGCAGCGAGTCCTGAGCCTGTCATCGCAGGAGTCTCGGACAGGGTTTAGGGTTTAGGGTTTAGGGTTTAGGGTTTGGGGTTTAGGGTTTATGGTTTAGGGTTTAGGGTTTAGGGTTTAGGGTTTAGGGTTTAGGGTTTAGGGATTCAGGAAAAACACTCCGACACTTAGTTCGTGTAGATGCCTCACCCTCCTACTCGATGGCCCTCGCGTTTTTTTTGTGTGGCGTCAGGTTGAGGCTTGTAGCTTCTGGTTCGTTGCGCTTTCCTCGTTTCAACTGAACCCTAAACCCTAAACCCTAAACCTTAAACCCTAAACCCTAAACCCTAAACCTAAACCCTCAACCATAGCAGCACCTCCGCCCGCCAAGGGCACCGTCATTGACAGCATCCTGCTCGATACGGCTTTGAGCAACTAGGTAGGCCCTTGGGACATTTTATATATGTTCCCTTACCAGGATGGGCTATTCGGCCCCCATGATGAACCCTATAAAGGGCCTATTAAGGGGTTATAGGGTATAGTTGCCCATCCTGGTATCTGGCTTAAGAGGATCCCATGCAGGAATGTTTTTTCAGAGGGCTTCTAGGGCCATCCGAGGCATGTTCACCAGCAGTCTTCGGGAGACCACCGGGCTGCCAGTCTTTGACGACGCCTCCATGAAGAGCTTCTTCAGCTCGGCATCTTCACTCAACCACTTCAGTGGCTCGGCAGGCCCTTGCTTGGGACCTTTTTTGTATTTCCCCTTTTTCTTGTAGGGTTTAAGAGGATCATCTTCAGGAATCACTTTTCAGAGGGTTTTCATCGGCCCATCCGAGGTGAGGCATGCGTTCTGGGACGCCTGGAGGCCAAGCTGCAGAAGCTCAAGTCAGATGAGGCCGGCTGCCGCCCGGATGAGCATTCAGAACTCGACTTCTTTCTGAGGAGGGCTTTTACCCCGGCATCAGATCCAATCATGTCAACAGTTCTGGGATGCAGATATCTCCATGCCCTCAAATCCTGGAAGCACAAAACCTCACACCATCTCACACTCTACAATATGACTCTATAAGCCCTCAAGACCAAAAGAAAAAAGCAAAGCCCCAAACCCCAAACCGTAAAAGCCTACCAGAGGCCAGCCCCCCCTTGGCAATCTCGGACTCGTGCGGCTGGACTCCTACGAGTATCCGCCAGCTGTTGGTGATGCAGACCACGCAAGCACCGGGGCCCTTGTTGTAATTCTAGTAGGGTTTGGTCAGTAGAGTTTATGGATGTTTGTGGTCTACAAGGGCCCTTGTTGTAATTCTAGTAGGGTTTGGTCAGTAGAGTTTATGGATGTTTATGGTCTACAAGGGCCTTTGTTGGAATTCTAGAGCATCATTAGGGTTTATCGTTTACGGGTGGTGGGGCAACAGCGTGTACAGGGCTGTGACTGTTATTCTCGCGGACCGAGGCACGTTTAGCTTTCAGACATCTTCGAGAGTTGCACGCGGGCTTTGCTTTGAGAACGCGCAGCAAGCCTCGCAATCACCAGCTGTGCTGGAGAACTTGAAGAGCGCGGCAGATGAGTTGGAGTCGCAAGAGTGCTTTGCCATAGCTGGGAACTGTGGCTTCATGCATTTTTACCAGGACTTGATTCGGGACATCGTCCAGGTGCCCGTGTTCATGAGCGCCCTCGTGCAGGTGCCCACGATGATGGCGGCCTTGGAGCCGGAAGACAGGAGATCAGACATGATGTTTTCGGCAGGTTTGTTGTGTTGGTTTAGGGTTTAGGGCTTAGGGCTTAGGGCTTAGGGCTTAGGGTTTGGGGTTTGGAGTTTGGGGTTTGGGGTTTCGTCATGTGGGTTTCGGGTTCGCGGCGGACCTCGTTCCATGTAGCAACTTTGGACATCTGACATCTGCCAGGATCCTGATTCTGACTGCAAACGGGGCATCCTTTCGCGCGGCACAAGACAGGCTCATCTTGGGATGTCCCCCCCCCATACTAAAAGTCCTCAATAGGGATCATCGTACCCCATTATAACCCCTCCCTAAACCAAACCCTAAACCCTAAACCCTAAACCCTAAACCCTAAACCCTAAACCCTAAACCCTCCCTATGAAGGATTGCTAGAAGGGGGAACATCCCCCCAGGCTCATCCCATCTGGCTGGTTCTCATCGCCTGGCGATTCTGATCGGATCGTCGTGCGAGGCTGCGAGGCCGTGCCAGGCCGGGCTTTCCCCTAAACCCTCACTTGGAGGTGGGTTTGGGGTTTAGGGTTTAGGGTTTAGGGTTCATGGTACTTATTAACCAACTATACCAAACCCTAAACCCTCAAGCCTAAACTGGTAGCCCAGTGGTACCCTTTACCCTTTTTTTAGTGTTCTGGTTCCCTTATAAGAGTAACCAACCCAAAAAAGGGTGCCCTTATCATAGTATGGTTACTAGGCTGCCAAGACAAGGAGCTCATGTTAGCCGTGAATAGGCCTAGAGAGCCCCGCTAGCAAGTAAAAGGCCTTCGCCCTCGCAAAATAGGGGCGCCCCAGCCTCCCAGGACTCTAGAACTCTTATTCCCCTCGCAACCCCCAAACGGGGCACGCAATTTTGTGAACCCCTAAATATCGTAGTTTGTATGTCGTGGGAGCTTGTGCTTTGCTTTCGAAGACTCAGTTTCGGAGGCTTTGAGGCCGTGGCGAATGTGGAGCAAGTGGACACAAGGAAGGTGCAGATCCACCTCAGCAACTATGTGAAGCAGATATTGGCGGAAGAGGGGACAACACGCCCTGTTAAGCTGATCCTGTTGGAGTGCACCGAATTGCCCCACTATGCTGCCGAGCTGCGACGAGTCAGCGGCCTGCCGGTTTTCGACTTTGTCACCTGCGCCGAGTTTTTTTGCCAAGGTGATACCAGTAAGAAGGCCAGTTTCAAGCCCTACATCTAAAGCCTCCATGTGAAACAGTTATTCTTGGCACGGTGCAGTGGTGACAGCCGTTCCCTTCGCCCGAGTGGGCTACAGAGGATCAATGTTGAGCAGTCGGCTGAAGGCCCTAATTAAACTCCCGTTGCGGGTGGCGGAGTCATGGATGGACCATTCTACGGAGCACGGCTGGCTCATATGTATATATACATATATATGTTAATATATTTGAATCTAAATTTATATTTATATTTTGAATAAAGCCAAGGCGTAAGGAGATGTAGGGAGGACACCCTTGGTTGTCCAGTTTGCGCATGACTCCCAAAGTTTGTTATTTTGATATGCCCGCGGCGCTTGTTTCCACACTTCGTGGACACGTTCTGTGCAGCCTACAGGGGCTGTATTTGCTTGTGGCGCTTTCAATGTGAGCGCCCGCTTCTGCATGCCTGCATGCCTCTCGGGCCACATCCCTCTCGGCAAGGAGTGGTTTACCTGTAAGCTGCGCCTGCGAAACCCCTGCAACCCCTGCACCATCCACCAGCTTCTTGCACAGTGTGAGGGAACTTGGTTTCGATGTACATACCTGTCTATACATTTGTGTTAGGATGTTCCCCCTTAATGCTTACAGTCCTTAATCGGAACTATACCTAAGCCCTGAGCCCTAAGCCCCTCTTTTAAGGGACTCTTGGTACAAGGGGGCCCGACATCCCAGCATTCGTGCTTCGGAGCGCGAGCAGCTCGAAGCATAGAATTGGTGCATTCTGAGCCCTTTGGTACAATGGGGAGTGGATTCCCTAAAGTAGAGTCCTTTTGGGGGGATCTATTACAATACGGAGCCTTATTAAACATATTGGGTTTTTGTGTTAATATAATCATAAAACTACATTATTCTAACTAGACTGTGCCAGGATACCCCGAGTATGCAGATTCCCTAAAGAGCACTCCTTTTGGGGGGAACCTATTACAATACGAAGCCTTTTTTTATCGGATGATTCTGTTAATTAATCATATCATTATGTACTATTATATCATACTGCTGTTATACCCCAAAAAGGGGCCCAACGTTTGGAGAATCCACCACATGTCGTGCCAGTTTGTGCAGATGTCAGGCTATGGGCTGGCGGGTTCAGGGGTCTAGGGCTGACTTCCGCTTTTTTAAAGGGCGCTTTAGGGTTTAGGGTGTTGGCTTTCGGGTTTCAGGTTTATATGGTGGTTTAGGGTTTAGAGTTCAGGGTTCAGGGTTTAGAGGCTTTAATGATGCTTTGTAGGGTCGGTCCAGCCGACTGCCTTTCCCAAGAGACCCACGAGACTGGGGAAACAAACTGCGCTCCAGGCGAGCACAGCCATCGCTCTGAAGTCGCAGAAAACAGCTTTGCGGGCTTGGGGCTTAGGGTTTATAGGGTATAGGGTTTAGGGTTTTGTTTTCGGAGGCCCCTCTAAACTCTAAACTCTACTGGTGAAGCATTGTTGCAATGTGTGAGTATCGTTTTGTTGTTCTTTCCCTTTTCGGTCATCTCGAGTACACTTTGGCACGTCCGCTGCAATACCTATAGGTCCTGAGCCCTAAGCCGAGAACCCTACCCCAATTCACCTACTTCCATGTGGTTGTGCACTGTAATCAAGGGTTTCGCAAGCGCCCTAAACCCTAAACCCTGAATCCTAAGCCCTAAACCCTAAACCCTAAATCCTAACCCCTAACCCTAAACCCTGAGCCCTAAACCCTAAACCCCCCAGCCCTAAACCCTAAACCCCGCAGCCCAGGCTTCGTCGGTGACAGAGGAGGATGCCACCACGCGGCTGGAGATCTACCGGGATGAGGTCGGTCACAAGATAAGCGCTTCGGGGTTTCAGAGAGCTTTCCAGCTTTTGGGATGGGCCCCTGCGTCTGAAAAATAGGATACAGTTGAAGGGGTTTAGGATTTTTTTGGCAGCCGTTGGGTGACTTCCGTGGTTTGGGGTTTGCAAGGATGTGAGGGCTTACTCGGAGGTTCATGGTACTTAAGGGACTTAGAAGTGGGTGCTAAGTGCAGTTATCCTAAACCCTAAACCCTAAACCCTAAACCCTAAACCCTAAACCCCTATAAGTACCATGAACCTCCAAGTAGGGGTTTAGGGCAACCTGTGGCCCTAAACCCTAAACCCTAAACCCTAAACCCTAAACCCTAAACCCCTCAAGGTTGAAGGGGCTTAGGGCAACCTGTGGCAGGTTCAGAAGATCGGGAAGTCAAGGAAGATGCCGGCGCATCTCTTCTGCAACTTCGACTCCGGGGGGCCGACCCCAGGGTTTAGGGTTTAGGGTTTAGGGTTGAGGGTTGAGGGTTTAGGGTTGAGGGCAGGCTGGCCTCGACAACCCTGGGCTCGAAACCCTACTTTAGGCCTCCGGAAATACGACTGATCAATACTGCTAGGGCCACGAAATTCTCAAAGAGCCCCAATACCCCTTAAATAGGGAACATATTCCTTAAATCATATTTGGGGCCACGAAATTCCCAAAGAGCCCAACACCCCTTAAATAGGGAATGCGTACCTTAAATCATATTAGGATCCTAGGTATGTTGCTGAATTAAGGGGGTACTGGGCTCTTTGGCCATGGCCTATACACACTTTATCCTGGCATCATAGGCCGTTGTCGTGTGGGTACTTGGAGTTTACAGGGGCCCTATAAATCCTAACTCCCCCAGATCTCCAAAGCATTGCGGCTGCCAGGCAGACTCTCGCGGCCGGGGGCCCAGAAAGGACTGCTTTGCCTGCGAGGACCAGGAGAAGACAGCCTGGGTGGGATTCTTCGAGCTTGCTTGCTTGTTCTTGAGAAAGTGCCTCACTCCCTTAGGGTTTAGGGTTTAGGGTTTAGGGTTTCGTGCATCCAAGGATGGCAGCATCTACGAAGGAGAGTGGGTCGGCCCCGTCAGGCAGCGTTGGCGCACCCGCGTTTAGGACGAAACGTTGATGGTTAATACAGTTCGACGTACCCTTTTTACTTTTCACGTAAGATGCCCGCGGACAAGCCCAAGCGCTGCGGCGCTACTCTCTTACTTGCCCTAACCCCGAAACCCGAAACCCGAAACCCTAAACCCTAAACCCTAAACCCTAAACCCTAAACCCTAAAACCCTAAAACCCTAAACCCCAAAACCCCAAAACCCCAAAACCTCAAAACCCTAAAGCCCTAAAACCCTAAAACCCTAAAACCCTGAAACCCTGAAACCCTGAAACCCTAAAACCCTAAAACCCTAAAACCCTAAACCCTGAACCCTAAACCCTAAAACCCTAAACCCTAAACCAGGCACGGCAGAGGCGTCTTGACACTGCCAGACGGCTCGAGCTATGCGGGCCAGTTCGAGCATGGTGTCGTCTCGGCCTCAGGGGCATTCTGCCGAGATGGGCCTAGAAGAGCCCTAAACCCTCAACCCTAAACCCTATAAACCCTATAAACCCTATAAACCCTATAAACTCTATAAACCCTATAAACCCTATAAACCCTATAAACCCTAAACCCTAAACCTCGCAGGTCCATGGTTTTGCGACATACACCTTGCCCACTGGCGCCAAGTACGAGGGTGAGCAAGGGCCTCGGCTTGGTTTTCGACATGGGGTGCTGTTTTTTGATCCAAGGAGTCCTTGGTCCAATCTTGTGCAAACTGCGTTTGTCAACAACAGACAGCAGACAGGGCTCAGCTGTGAGAAGTAGAGTAGAGGGTCCGGCCAGCATCAACCCCCATAATGGCCAGCAATGAGAAAAAGAACGAGCAGTTGTGATAACTAAGCATGCAAAATTGACATAGCCAAGGGTCAATTATCAACAATGCTTATCTTGGTGCTGCCGCGTCTCTGGGAAGATTGTGGGAAATCTAGACATGAGCTAGTGATATTTGGGTTTTGTGAGGCCCTCTCAAACAATCTGGATGACATCCGGTTCCAGGGGAGCTACAATAACCTGGTGCGGGGGCTTTGCGCTGCGATAGCGTGCCGTCAGGGCACTGCGATAGTGCAGATGGCGATGGCACAAGCCGACACAAGCCGAAGTAAGTCCGAAACAAGCCGGAGCTAGACAACACGTGTGGAAGTAAGCCCAAAACTATGCTGGAGGAAGCCTGTAAGTGCCCGAAATTAAGCGAAAGACACACGCACGCACATAGACTTGTAAGTAAGAAGCGACATATTAGCAGTATTCAGTATTCATCACAGATGCTGCGAGACAAAGCAACTCAAACAGATCAAGGACAAACAGACTTTGACTCTTGTTGGAGGTTCAGCGAAGGCAACCGTGCCCATTTATGTCCATTATCTGACTCGGTGCGTTTTCACGAGTGGGTGGGTGGGCTTGTTGAGTCATACGCCAACAACGAGAACTAGCCCAATAGCCTGAACTCCTAAGTCCACTAGTTCCTACTAGCTATTGCGGATTATGAGCCAACATAGGCGCTGGCTCTTGCAGCTTTGAGGTGGCGTCTGGGGAAGCAGGACGGAGAAGGCCACGAGGAAGAATGTTTGCGTCTGGTGTCCCTAGGACTACTTGACTTCACGATGCAGGCCGGGAGATCACAGCCGAGGGCGCCATCTACCAAGGACTGACTGCCTTCGAGTCGTCCTACTATCAAAAAGGAAATAGACCCTCAGCAAGGAGAATTCTGGTATCTTCTCCATTTACAGGGCATTGATGGGGCTCTCTGGTCCTGTGCCTTGCCATGCGCAGGCCAGTACAAAGATGACAAGAAGGAAGGGTGAGGATCTAAGTTGATGCTCACGCTCTTGAAGTGGCTACTGTGCGAGATGCACCCTGCTGCGCAGACCATATATTCCAATCCGCACTCTAAGGGATGCGTCCATCTCTTATCCGGACGGGTCCACGTACGAAGGGAAGGCCAGCCTTTTGTAGCCGAGATGAAGTAGTTCAGGTTCATCTACTAGTTGCTTAAGAACCCCAAAAACTAAGCAAATAGTAGTCATGGTTTGAGGCCACTCATGGCTGTAGCAAAGCGCGACCAGGTTTCCGACGGCAAGCTTCATGGCCTGCACCTTAGTGGGCGAGGTCAAGCCAGGCTTACCCAGCACTTAAGTGCAGCGGTTCATAGGGGCCTGAGTAATTAGAATAGGGCTTAGGGGGTCATTCTAGTACAATTACAAAGGGACCATAAGGGAATACTATTGGTAATTACTCCGACCCCTATGTTCTTGTCGAAATTCTTCTGCTGCCGAGGCACGGGCAAGTACGTGTGGAGCAATGGCCATTCCTACGAAGGCAAGGCACTTGTGACTTCTGGGCACGTGCCCTGTTGGTGGGACCACAAGTTGGTCCGCACAGGGGTTTTAGGATTTACAGGGCATTCAGCTCAAGCTAGTTCCTGTTCTTGCCAAAGGTATGGCCCGTGGTTGCCTTCCCAACAGCCAAATGGACTCACATGATGCCCTAAACCCTAAACCCTAAACCCTAAACCCTAAACCCTAAACCCTAAACCCTAAACCCATGGATACGTGGCAGGCGAGTGGGAAGATGATGAGATGCACGGTGAGGGCGTCATGCGCTCGGAGAGTGGCTCGAGCCGAGCGCAGCATGGCCTGGGACCGCACCATACAGGTTCCAGACCGTTCTGCAGTGTAGTCGGGTTCTCTATATAGACACCCGAGACCCCCAAAACCCTAAAATGGCCCCCCAAAATAGCCGGAACCCTAGCTGAAGAGCAACCCCGCGCGCACCCAAGAGGCTCATCGCAAATCGTGTCCACGCTTTTCGGAGCTCAGGTCTACACGTGGCCAACGGGTGTGAAGTTCATTGGGCAATATCAGCACAACTTGAAGCACGGCGCCGCGCTCAGATGCCAACTTCGGAAGTTTGTTGGGTCGTTCTATCCCCTGTTAAGGGAATATCTACGAGGCGCCTTTTGTTCCCCAAGGGGTATAGGCTGGTACCTGATCCCCTACTTAAGGAATGATATAGGGCACCTATTTTTGTCATCATGCTTAGCACAGTCAAACATGGTGATCTCTCTTCGACCCGGTTCGGAGGAGAGGCGGAGGGGGGGGGGGCGAGTCGTCACATACGTTTAAGCCAACTGACTTGATAGGTTTCCGCGTTTGTTACGCTAAGCCCAAAACTGGCCCTATGCCCTTTAGGCCCTAAAATGCCCTAAACCCCATAAACCCGAAACCATCCAGAAATCAACTGAAGGATCTGCCCACTAACCAAATCCCCAAACATCAACCCCCTGTCAGGTACTAAACCCTAAAGCCCAAACCCTAAACCTAATACACCCTAAAGCCCAAACCCCAAACCCTTAAGGATCTGCCCCACTATCCCCCAAACGTCAAAGTCCTGCCAGGTACAGGAGTTGTACACTTTCCCGACGGCCGGACTGTGGAGGGTACGTGCGCCAACGAAAGGCTGCTAGGGTTGGGATCCGCTGTCTGGGGTTGGGGTCCAGCAGTTTTTGTTTTCTCCAAAATTCTGTGTCTACAATCCACAGAGTCCATCTATCTGGTTATCCCTCTTTCTCACTCCCTCTGTTCTCTCGCCTGTGCACCGATCTTGGGTGGTGTCACTTCGTTTGAGTCCTTCCTCAAGACTTCGCAAGGTTCCACAAACTCCAAAACATCCACCTCGTGTTTGTCAACTAACTTCCTGTCATGAATGTGTAATCGATCTGAAAAGCGTGTTCATGCTCTACTGCAGTAAACCTGACTGCAGATTGAAATCAGGTACGAGGCAGGCACGCGGCAAAGCACCAGCGGCTACTGAATTTATGAGATGCCCATGCAGTCAAGGTTTGGACGTAAGGCGTTCTATGCCGATCGCTCGCCACAATGCAGTATCAGCTTACTTCTTGGCTCATGACTTACTGTACATCCCAGAGAACATTGCTGGGAAATACTTCGGCCAGCAGCAAAGCTGCTGGTACAGTTAGAGTTTCACGCCGCCCATGACAATCGTCATAGGAGCTGGTTCACCGACGTGGAATAGATTCACCATATATCTCCCACGTGGCGAAGCCGATGACAAGAGTCTATACTGTATAGAGCTTCATGTACAGTAGCATACGTTCTTTATCATGCATGACATGAGGCCGATTTTCTGGAACATGCAAATTGTAGTATAGAGTCGGTGAGGCTAAAAGTGCCGTGCAAAACCTGGACCGTGTAATCGTCAATGTTGACTTAATATTCACAAACGACAAATCTTGCTCTCTCTCTCACACACATATATATATATATATATGTGGCCGAGACCTTTAGGGTCTATTTCACGGCTGGTTCTTCTTTCAGTAGTAGTGCAATAATAATAATAATAATAATATTTGAATATTATTATGAGTATAATAATACTGACCGTAATTGTAATAGGAATAATAATAGTACTAGTAATAGTAATAGGAATAGGAATAGTAATAATACTAGTAATAGTATTAGTAGTAGTAACAGTAATAGTGAAGGTTTGGTCTGTGTGTGCACCGGCGCCAGCAAGTGCAGCCATGTAGCTCTAGCACACTTTGAAGTAAGAGATAGACAAGTTGTTTCATAGCCTGAAGAGGGGCGAAGGGCTCTCTCATTTCCGATTACGAGGTAGAGGTGAGCTATCTCATTTCTTAGAAACATAGAGGAGATCTCATTTCCACGACAGAGACATCTTTCACTCAGGAGAGAACGCAAGCTGTTTCATTTCCAAGAAAATAGAGGAGCTCTATCATGTCGCATTAGAAGTGAGAAGCTCTGCACTAAAAGATAGAAGGCATCGATTCGTTTCCCTTTTTCTTTTGCTTATCAAAGGGTCTTTTCATTTCGAACACAGGATTTCTTTCATGCCCTATAAGAAGGATCGAGGAGCTCTTTCATCTGAGAGATAGAAGAACGCATTCATGAAGTATACACGAGCTCATTTCTCGTCAAGAGGCAGAGGCGTGCCCAGCTCTACCATTACCTAACTCTTACCTGAAATTTCTCTATCTCGCAATAGGTCATGAGAGACCTCCTTTTTCACGCTGCAGGAAATGAGAGAGTTCTCTTCTATGTCGATTTTCAGAAATAGCTTCGCAGCTTCTCTATCAATGAAGAGTTTTGAAGGCCACTCTGGGCCATTCTCTGTCCATCAAATGGGACATGACATAACGCATCACTCGCTATCGTTTACGTGATAGAGTTTCGCTATCTCTGAATAGGTCATCTGAAAGCTCCTCTGTATCTTTGCAGCAAGTGAAGGAGCTCCTTGCCTCTTCTGCAAGAGCCCTCCGCTTCCTATTTTGCAATGAGCAAGCTCTTTTATCTCCTCTGGTTCCTAATAGGTCATGAGCGGGCTTCCCTCTCTCCTTCTCTTTTAGGGGATAGAGGAGGTTTTTTCATGTTGCGTTAACAGCTAGAGGACATCATTTATATCCATTCTGTCATTTCGTATGAGAAGATACAGGAGCTCATTCATCTCCTAGTCAGAGATTGAAGAACTCGTTCACAAGAGATATAGATATAAGAAATCTCTCATACAATGTATAAGAGCTCTCTCATGTCCTACCTAGTTCATTTGCCGTCACCAGCGCTCAGCTCTACCATTTCGTATCTTTTATATGACATAGCTTCTCTATCTCGCAATAGGTCATGAGAGACCTCCTCTTTCTTTTGCAGGAAATGAGAGAGGTCTCTATCTACCTTTTGTGAAAGAGCTCCCTTTGTTCAATCACAAGAACTCATTCATAGAAGCTGTAAGAGCTCTCGAATGTACTTTCTTGTTAATTTCCCGTCGATAGGTAGAGGAGCTCACAGCTCTACCACATCCTACCCTTTACATGGAAGAGGCTCCTCTATCTCGTAGCGGGTCAAGAAAGATTGTCTCTATCTCTTTGCAGAACATTAGAGAGTCCTCTACCTACCTCTTGTGAAAGAGCTCCTTCACCTCAAAATCAAATGCCACAACTCGTCTATCTTTCACTGGGACATGAGACAGCTCCATTGTGAATTTCTATTCAGAAATAGCTGCTTCTCTATCGATGAAGAAATCATGCGAGTAGCCGTTTATCGATGCATAAGAAATGACATAGCTCTTCTACCTTTTTGCGACAGATCTCTTCTTTACCCGAAATGAAAGTTTGGAAGGCCATTCTCTATCCCTTGAATGGGGACACAACTCATCAGTCTCTATCGTTTACGTGAGAGAGTTTCGCTATCTCTGAACAGGTCATCTGAAAGCTCCTTTGTGTCTGCGCAGCAAGTGAAGGAGCTGCTTGCCTCTTCTGCAATAGCTCCTCCGCTTCCTATTTTGCAATGAGCAACCTCTTCTATCTCCTTTGGTTCCTATTTCTCGTTTGCCATCACTAGGCAGAGGAGCTCTCAGCTCTACCATGACCTATCTTTTACATGAAAGAGGCTTCTCTATCTCGTAACGGTTCATGGAGTCATGACAGATCTTCTCTATCTCTTTGCAAGAAAAGAGAGAGTGCTCTACCTACCTCGTGTGAAAGAGCTCCTCCACCTTGTGATCGAGAGTGACAGGACTCGTCTATCTTTCAATGGTGCATGAGCCAGGTTTTTTGTTTGTATTTGAGAAAAAGCTTGTCTACCCGTGATATAATAAGAAATGAATAGCTCTTCTACCTTTCTGTGACAGATCTCTCCTTTATTCGAAATGAAAGTCTGGAAGGCCATTCTCTATCCCTGAAATGGGGCATGACATAACTTTTCAATCTCTATCGTTTACGTGATCGAGTTTCGCTATCTCTGAATAGGTCATCTGAAAGCTCCTCTGTATCTTTGCAGCAAGTGAAGGAGCTCCTTGCCTCTTCTGCAAGAGCCCTCCGCTTCCTCTTTTGCAATGAGCAAGCTCTTTATCTCCTCTGTTTCCTAACAGGTCATGAGACAGCTCATTTCCACACTGTCATTTCGTATGCGAAGACACAGGAGCTCATTCATTTTCTATTCAGAGATTGAAGAACTCATTCATAAGAAATGTATGAGAGTTCTCTCATGTCCTATCTAACTGATTTCCCGTCACTAGGCAGAGGAGTCCTCAGCTCTACCATTTCTTATCTTTATATGACATAGCTTCTCTATCTCGCAATAATCAGGTCGTGAGAGACCTCCTCTTTCTTTTACAGGAAATGAGAGAGGTCTCTATCTACCCTTTGTGAAAGAGCTCCCTTTGTTCACTGGCAAGAACTCATTCATGAAAGCTATAAGAGTTCCCGTCGATAGGTAAAGGAGCTCACAGCTCTTCTATATCTTACCCTTTACATGAAAGAGGCTCTCTATCTCGTAGCGGGTCATGAAAGATCGTCTCTATCTCTTTGCCGGACATGAGAGAGTCCTCTACCTACCTCTTGTGAAAGAGCTCCCCCACCTCGTAACGTACAAAGACAGAACTCGTCTATCTTTCAATGGGACATGATCCGTCTCTTTGGTTTTGGTTGAGAAAAGCTTCTCTATCCATGAAGCAAACATGAGAGAAGCCGATTGTCTCTAGGCTGCTTATCGCTTCGTAGGAAATGACATAGCTCTTTTACCTTTTTGCGAGAGATCAACCCTAATTGAAGGTTTCGAAGGCCTATCCCTGAAATGGAGCGTCGCATAACTCATCAGTCTCTCTCGCTTACGTGAGACAGCATTTATTCTATTTCGTAACAGGTCATCTAAACGCTCTTCTATGCGTTTGTAGAAGTAAAAGAGCTCCTTGCCTCTTGTGCAAAAGCTCCTCCGCATCCTAAAGAGCAATGAGCAAGCTCTTCTATCTCCTCTCTCTTGAATAGGTCATGAGAGGGCTCCCCTCCCTCTGGTTGAGGGAATGACAGAGCTCCTCCGCCCCTTACGAAAGAGCCTTTCTCCTGCTTGAAAAGCTGGAGGAGTAAGGGGGCTTCGACAGCTTAGGGAGCTTACGGGACTTAAGGAGGCTTGGCGGGCTCAGGGGGCCTGGGGAGCTTCGGGGCCTTAGGAAGTGTAGGGGGCTTGGGAGTCTTAGAGAACTTGGGATTCTTAGAGGGCCTGGAGGCCGTAGGAGTCTTTGAGCGTTTAGGGTTTAGGGTTTAGAGTTTAGGGTTCAGGGTTTAGGGGAAATGGTTTGTTTAGAGAGGGTGTATTTACATCGTCTGCCTATGAACGTAGCAAACTCGTGACACACATTACTTGCAAAACAGCTTCTTGAAAATTAGAGCGCTAGTACCAAGCCATTGTACACACAACTATATGAAAAATCCTTCCTACATCTTGAAGGCGTCCCTTTCTTTAAGGGATGACTGGGGAAATTAAGGGAAAGAAAGGGCGATGGTTTCAGCACGAAAGTAAGGGAATAGAAAAGGGAACGCGGTACAGATACACGAAGCCTTAAAGGGATTCGAGGGGAAATTCTAGCACTACACAGGGGTTTCAAGGGAAAACTTCCCTGAAACAATCGGGGCCAAAAAAAAGCGCAACAGGGAAACATCAGGGAAATTTTAAGTTACGCTTTGGGTGGAGGCGTTGCCTGCAGGACAGCTCATGACCGATTGCTTGTAGTCCTGAAATTCTGTCTGCTTGCTCTGCGAAATTGTTTAGGGAGTAAGGGGGCTTCGACAGCTTAGGGAGCTTACGGGACTTAAGGAGGCTTGGCGGGCTCAGGGGGCCTGGGGAGCTTCGGGGCCTTAGGAAGTGTAGGGGGCTTGGGAGTCTTAGAGAACTTGGGATTCTTAGAGGGCCTGGAGGCCGTAGGAGTCTTTGAGCGTTTAGGGTTTAGGGTTTAGAGTTTAGGGTTCAGGGTTTAGGGGAAATGGTTTGTTTAGAGAGGGTGTA